AAGAAAAAAATCGGCAGGTGTTTCGCCCAAAGGAGTACCAAAAGACGTCCACTGTAAGAAGGCTACGTGGTATGTGTGGTGAGACAGAAGCGGAATCATTCACTGGGAAATCGTGTCTATTTTATGTTCCTTCGCCGAATAGTTCGTTGAGATCGCGGCCGCGCGGTATGAGCGTGCTGACTTCCAACTTTTCTCGAAGTGGTAGAGCATAATGTGGCAAATATGAGTATGGGTTTCGACTGCCATTTTATTAACTAACCAGAGAAGATTATTTTTATAAAAGAAACATTAACAAAACGCAGATTTAACTAACAAAAAACGCGCCAATAAAACCGCCGGATAATTATGAATCCACCTTATATTTTTTTGGCGGTGTTAATTTATGATCAGTCATCTGCTCAACTTCGAATTTTTATTTGTTTTGAAGGGCAACCACTTTGCGGGCAGCTAGAAGAACCACATTTGCTTTCAACAGGAAATTCAAACGATGGATTTGAAGATTACAGTGAGGGACCGGATCCAGTGGCAAAAAACGTCTCCAAACCCTTCCCTTCTCTAACTAGGGAAGTGTACAAACGAACCCTCACTAAATGGCAAGTGATATACACCATTTGAAAGCCCTTGAAAAATGGTGCAAGATACCATTTTCATTTTTTGCAGAATGCCTTTCCGCGACGCCATACTGTAAATTGTATTATTTTTAGGTCATTTCGCAACAAAGATCTTTCTTTCTCTTGAGCGGATAAAATTCCTCGAAGAGGGTTGCTTCAATAGTGCAGTGGTTGCTGAGTAGGCATGGCTCCGGGCCGGGCTTTCCAAAATTTTCCGGCCCGGGCCGGGCCGACTAATTTCTTGGCCCGACCCCGGGCTTCGATTTTCAGGCCCGGCCCGGCCCGGGCCGGCCCGGTTTTTTATGAAATCTGACTTTTGCCCGGAAAAAAAGGAAAAAATAAGCTTCTTCGATAAAATTTTTCATTTTTTCAAACACAATGCTGATAGCGAACGTAAAATGACCTTATTTACCACTCGCCCAAATGAAAAAATAATTTTCAAGGATTTGAAAAAAAAATTCAGAAATTCTTATGTGCGACCTCCTAGTTAATACGCTGGCAAAAAAAGAAAAAGGAAAAATATTCAAAACTACGCAATACGCTTGTAGGTTTTTTCAAATTCAATAAAAGATCTGTGATAAAACATTTTTGCTAAAATTTGGGTGACTATACACAAAATTTTATGATTTTTTGTAACCATATGGTAAGACAATTTATGGCGACTTAGTAATTTATAAAAATAGTCAAGCGGCAATTGAACTATGTATATGTTTTGCTAAATTATCTTTTACATTTTGCGAAAATGTGCCATAATTTTCCCTTCATTTCCTGCTTTGTTTCTTTCCAGCGTAGTACAAAAATTTTCCGGGCCGAACCGGGCCGGGCTTTCCAAATTTTACAAGCCCGGGCCCGGGCCGGGCCGGGCCGGGCCGGGCTGGCCCGGTTTGCAGCCATGCTTATTGCTGAGCAGGCTGATAAGCCAACCCAAGCTAGGTTCGATTCCCAGCTTGGGCAAAAACATTTTGCGTTCTTACAGTTAGGAAAATATTTGAGTTAAACTTTTACAAACGCTTCAATTTTTCTAGAAAACGGTCGATTACGGTTAAAATCATCAAACTTACATGTTTTTCAAGATTAAAAAGAGTGAAAAGTGTTTTTTCACGTTACGGGTATTTAAAACCAGTAAATATCACATGTAAAATGGTTTTACTGGCAAGCGCCAAACTTCATAATGATTCTTAGGCCAACCTAGTAGCAATATGTACCATTTAGCGTTTTGAAATAAGATTTATTTTGCCCCACAGCAGATATTGCAGCTACTTAAAGGACAAATCAACCGTTTATATTTTTTTGCCCTGAGGCATTCTGCAAAAAATGAAAATGGTACCTTTCACCATTTTTCAAGGGCTTTCCAATGGTGTTTAACACTTGCCATTTGGTGAGGGTTCGTTTGTACACTTCCCTAGTAAGCTAAAAAAGCCCGATTTGAAAAGCCCGCCTTGAAGGAGAGGGCGCGCTTTTCAAAACGGAGTTTTTTAGCTTAGAGAAGGGAAGGGTTTAGAGACGTTTTGGTCCCTTCCGGGATGCAAAGCGGGACGTTTTTCGCCACTGGATCCGGTCCCTCACTGTACATGTTCCAAATTAAGTTTTCTGGTGCATAAGGGGCTTGAATAGTTGACGTTAATCAGGCGTTTTTAGATGTCGAGAAAGCATTTTTTGAATAAAAAGCTCCCTTAACTTTGAAAGCGGTAGATGGGTTCAGGATATTCGTATACTTATCTGTACCATGGAGTTGCCAATGCAAAATTTCTGTCGCACTTACGGTAGAAAATGGTAATTTGTTTGCTGCCCGCAAAGTGGTTGTCCTCAGCACAACGCCCATTTGCTCAACTCCTGATTTGGATTTGTTTGCACAACTGCTCGATCAGAAACTGTGGATTCAATACTGCATGGAAAAAGGGGCCAATGGATCTGACATAGGCCACACAAAATCCCCGCAGTTTCTTGAATTTAACTTTCTATTTCATTGGCTGTTTGTTCTCTTCCATTATCCATTTCCTTCGCAAATTCGATTACGCAATGTTTACAGAATTTTCAACCGAATAAGCCACCGAAAATTGGGTTTCGCAAATTACAAGGATTGTTACAACTTCTTACAAGATCTACGCTTCTCGATTCCCATGCCCGAGGGAGGAATTGAAGCATACTGTAATTGTGTAACACGACGATTTAACCGTCCCTAAACTACAATTTAGTGACAATACTTGGAATCGGAAGGACGAGATTAAACTGTTGAAAGTAGTGTAAAATTTTGGGTGGTCACTTGACCTTACTAGGGAGGTGTGACGGAGTTTCACGAAGGCTAGCTTGCGCTTTGCAAAAGTAATTTTTTTGGGTCAAACGTTGGTAAAAATTTGACACTTGTTTGTGAACATTGCTGTGAAAATTTGTTGCATTTTTTCTGTTGAAGGAAGCCTCGTTTCCACAAAAAAATCTTAAATTTGCTTCGCCAAAGAGGCCGAGATATTGCCGTGAAGCCTTTTTTCGAATATCTGACAGGGGAAGTACTCCAAGTGCAACGCTCAGATTTTCTTTAAACTTTGCACACACGTCGGGTATAGATTAAATATCGATAACTGGAAGTTTTAGTTCGCGCTTTGCCGGCGCCGCCGAGATATTCAACGATTTTTGCCGCCGAGAGAGCACACTAAACGTGGAGAGCGGTCAGAGAGAAAACACCTTTTTGGCCATAACTTTGGCAGTTTCGAGCGGAAAAATTTGATTTTTTGTAGAAACATTATCCTTTACGGTAGAAATAGGGATGAAACTTTTCGAGCCGAAATTCGGCAAAAAGTCCTAAATTTTGGCCGCCTTTTGATCTAAAAATCTCGGTTGTTTCTGCAAAGCGCGAGCTAGAATTCTCGCATATATCTTAGAAAAAATTATTCTAAATTTGTGCCAAGTTTCATCAAAATCTGAGCGTCGCAATTGGAGTACTTCCCCTGTGAATATCTCGGCCAAGGAATATCCAAGCAACCCAAGAGATTTTTAGATATTTTTAACCGCTGGAAAAGCCAGGCAAGAAAAGTTTCAAGTAAGCAAAAGTTTGAGTGTAATTTTTAGTCAATGAGAAATCGTTCGTGTCAATTCGACCCTTTCTAATTGCAGCCACGCCAAGATTTTCAACATAATGCAGTAAAGAGGTGATTGCTGCATCAAAAAAGATTGACAGAACCTTAAATGAAACTTGTTTCATTACATCGAGTGGTTAAAGTTTTGTTTTAACTTTATTCTTGATGATAAATACTTGGAATCCGTCAGAGTTGTCGAAATAAATTTTTCTTTTTACACAATGATGCCTCGAATGCGTGGGATTTACAGTAGTCTTTATAATCGCCCGAGAGGAATACGTATGAATTATTCTTTATGACGTTCTTTTGTCATAATATTTGCTTACTTTCTACTGTATCCCACGCAACCTTTTTCAAAATCCACACATCTAAAAACTGCTTTATTTGACTAGACAGATTGTTTCTTCGGTAGCGGACTCCCCTTCGCAAACATGTTTACCACATAAAAACGCCCACAGATTCGCAGAATGGGGAGGCCGAAAGCGTCTGTACACTTTGATCGCATCTGTTCTACACTAGTAACAAAATAAATTGGAGATTACTCCGTTGAACCCGGCCTGCTGAAGTGAGGCTGGAAAACAGCTTTAGCACACACTACGCAAAATTTAAAGAGAAAAAATCTAAAAATTGTAATAAAACGTGCAATTAATAAAAAAGTTTTTGATGTCTCTTCTACTGTAAGCACCGGAAATGTGACAGTTTTACAACAAAATTGAAATTTTCCACTTTTTGTCGCAAATTGACGAAAAATCGAGGATAATTTTAATCGTAAGATAATTTATGGTCATCGTGAGGGAAATAAATCTCCATAGAAACTTAGGGTTCACCTTAAAATGTGTCAAAATATTGTTGAAATGCCTCCCATATAGCAGACTTTCCTGATTACCCATAAAATCACTAAAGATATAAACCGCATAAAGTTCAGGTTAAAATTTTAAGAAATTGGTTTCTGCTGTAAGCCCAACGCATGCGCAAAGCTCAAAGAAAGAATGATAGCACTAGAGAAGCTTGCTTAGTCAAAAATCTTTATTTCTTTGACCTCTCTCCTCATTATTCATATATTTTTGTTGTCATTGGCCGTAAAGGAGCTGTTATTAGATTCACATGCAATTTTCAAAACTTGCAAACATCTCTCTTTTTCATGAAGCCATTTAGACTTTTTCAAGTCATGTTTGTAGTCTACTCTCTTCTCTAAAAAAAGCCTCCCAAAAAATTGTGAACCAACTTTATTTACAAAAACGCTTCACCTATCGGGTTGATTTATGAACATGACTAGAATGGAATTCCTGAGATCGTTTTCAAAGGTTGTTCTCGCCCTCTACTTCCGTCTTTTTATGAGACATGTGAAGGGCTCGGTTACTGTAGCATTTCCTCCAATCTTTTTCAATGTTGGCGGAACCTTGCCAGCTGCAAATTCGTAGTTCAAACAGAGATTGGAGATGAATAGGAAGACCTCCATGCGGCCCAGCGGTTCGCCGACACATTGACGTTTCCCGAGAGAGAAGGGAACGTGCTCGGGACGTGGGGCAAAGTTGCCGTTCTCGTCGATGAAACGGTCGGGATTGAACTCGTCCGGGTTGGGGAAGACCTGAAAATAAAATTGGGAAACTGACATTAGCGGCTACGGATATTTCTCTTGTTATATGTAGGTAGGCTAAAAATCAAGCCCAAAATTAAAAGGTTCTTTCGCAAAATATCTCTACGCTAGGATGTCTTTTGAGACGTTTCAAAAGTTTATTATTTTGTGAACGATTGTGCCCTTGCTCCGAAAAAACACAAGTGTAAAATCAAATACAAAAAATGGATGATGATATGACAGACCTTGCGCACTTTTCCGGTAAATTTTTTTTGACCTATCCCGCGTTGTTTCGAAAAACGTGCGTATCGTACAGCTCGAACTTTGGTGTTCAGAAAGTTTTTTTAAAGACATGTGTATATGTATATAGATATATGTAAGATATGACCCTTTAACTTATGACCCTTTAACGATCATATGTTTCATAAAAAATTAAGTTTTTTTTCATAAAATTTTTTCTCTTGGCAGTGAAAAATTGTTTTTTATAATTATTTTTTGCCAACAACCATTAAAGCGCCCACCTCCGGATCCATCATCATGACAGAGATCTGTGGGACGGTGATCGTCCCTTTCGGCAGAAAATACCCCTCCACAACCACGTCCTCCGTCGTTGTGTGCGGAATATTTTGTCCGGCCACGTTCGAACAACGTTGAATTTCCATTATCACAGCTTGGATGTACGGTAGTTGGGTTCGGTCAGCGATTCGGACCACATTCCCATTGCGAATTACCGTATCCAGTTCCTGTCGGATTTTCGCTTGGACTTCGGGATAGCGGATTAGATAAGCCAAGGCCCAAGTCATGGAGGTGCTGCTGGTTTCCTGGAAACATTTTTTTCATTTGTTGATTGTCTTCTATTACGGTAAGTTTTAATTTTTTTTAAGAGAAAATTGATGATTTTTGATTTTTTTGAAAAATTATCTATCCTACAAAAAATACCAGTCTACGTATAACAAATGATTTTAAAAGCCCCAAGGGGCTTTCATATCTCACTATTCTCATCCCAAGACTTATTGAACCCCATATTTCGCCCCCAAAAATCTCCAGTTCCCCGATTTTCTGACCAAAACACCTTCACACCATTCTCTACACCCTCTGCTCAATCAATCTCCAATTTTACACCGCAGATTTCTCTCTTTTTTTCAACGTTAAACACCCTCCGGACACAGGTTGGTAATTAAGCCTGATGACCGCTTTACAGCGCCGCAATTCTCAGAACGCCACGCTGAAAAACGATTCATCTACTTTTGGGTCGAACTGATAAAGACTTTACAAAAATGTTCTTTAAAAAAAGCGTGCCAGCAAATCACTGTAAATCATGCAGCAGGGCTGAAAATATGATTGGAGAGCGTTCTGAGAAAGTTTATTTTTGGATGGAAAAATGAGATTTATTAACAAGGGAAGGGTTTGAAGTTCAACACTTGGATTTTGATGAAACTTGGCACAAATTTAAATTACATTATGCTACAACATATATGAGATTCTTAGCTTACGCTTTAATAAAACAATCAAGTTTTTCAAGTCGAAAGTTGGTGGAAACTTCCGATATTCCCAAAAAATGGGTAAAAAAGTAGTCGATTAAATCTATGCCTAGATGGATACCGATAACCCCCGAATTTCATAAAAAAATACTACTTGAAATACGATATCTGCAAAAGAAATCGGACGAGAAATACCCTGAATTGAATCAAAATTCAAACTACAATACTTTCGCCGGATAATTTTAAGTCAAATTTTTTTCTTACCTGTCCCGCAATCCACAAATCGAAGCACACATTCCGGAGTTGGGCTACGGAGAATCCTCCAAGATTTCCGCTCCGTTTCCGCCTCTCAATTTCCATTAAATAAGCGTCGATGAAGCTTTCAGGTTGCAGCTCTTGAGTGTAATCGTTCCGATCCAGATGGTCCTGAATTACATTGTCGATGTAGTCAAAAATCAGCTTGAAAGTGTCGATCGTTTCTCTGCCCGGCTGTCCGATATAAGGGACGTTCAAGAGCCAGAGGTTGTTTAGGACGAGATTCGGCCATTCGCTGATTACCAGTTGAATGGCTTTGGTTGTCGTCGCTTTTAATTGGGCAAATTCGGCCTCACGGTCCTGCAAATTTAACGTTATCATTTTTGAATCCATCAACAGCTAAAAAGTTGATTTTTTTGTAGCAACATTGCTCCAAATAAGGCTCAGAACTTCTTGTTAAACTCGTAAGAATGTTGAATTTTTACCAATTTTCGGACTAAAAATCTCTTTTTTCTGCAAATCGAAAGCTAAAAAGAATGTATTTTCCTAACAAGGGAATGGTCTGAACTTCCCCCAACGCTCGGGAAAATGACTAGTACAGGTGGATAGAGCAGGTCGACTTTGGTAGAAAAAGGCATTTTCCAGCTGCAAAGTAAGCACGGCCGACGAGAAAAATCGACCGAAAGTTCCGAAAAAATTTCCTCTTTCTCTTCCCTCGGAAAAGAAGTGGTGCTTCCAGTGGTTCGGTTGGCCGAGTGGATAGAGCGTCCGCTCGATATTCTTTTGGGGATTGGTTCGATTCCGGGGCAGCGCGAGTGGCTATGATAAGGCTTTGGTGACGAAGGTAAAAATTATTTTGCAATTTTTTACGCCTTCTAGAGATTGCAAAACACATAATAATAAAGGATTTTCATGTAAATTCCGGCGATTTTTTTCTGGAAGATTCCAGAACGTTCCCAATCATACTCCAATAAGGAGCAAACTGGAGCACATCTTGATCATATCGGCGGTTTTGACAAACGTCCACTAGAGTGTTCGGAAAACAGACAGTCCATGACTAGATTATTGGAGTATGACTGGCACCTTTCTGGAATCTTATAGAAAAATGGCAAAATTTAGATGGAAATCCTTTATTATTATGTGTTTTACAATCTCTAGAAGGCGTAAAAAATTGCAAAATAATTTTTTTGGTCCACAAGAGTTTACCTTCGTTACCAAAGCCTTATCATAGCCACTCGCGCTGCCCCGGAATCGAACCAAACCCCAAAAGAATATCGAGCGGACGCTCTATCCACTCGGCCAACCGAACCACTGGAAGCACCTCTTCTTTTCCGAGGGAAGAGAAAGAGGAAATTTTTTCGGAACTTTCGGTCGATTTTTCTCGTCGGCCGTGCTTATTTTGCAGCTGGAAATTGCCTTTTTCTACCAAAGTCGACCTGCTCTATCCACCTGTACTAGTCATTTTCCCGAACGTTGGGGGAAGTTCAGACCATTCCCTTTCTAGTCTAAATTTGCTCAGATTTCCATCAATATATGAGAAAAAAATCAACAATATGTGTGTTTTCATATTTTTCAAAACTACAATTTTTGTCTTCACCAAAATCCCTTCCCAAAATTTGCCTCCCAATAAGCTTAACCGATCTTTTGAGCAACAATCAAGGCAGAAAAAGTCATCAGAACGTCCCAAAAATGAGCAAAATTTGATGGGCGCACCCAAAACCGCTTATAAGCAATATTTGTTGTGTTCTAATTGGAGTTGCAAGTGGCTATAGTTTGAAAGAAAAAGCTTGACAAGGAATTAATAGTATCACAAATTTTAATCAATTTTTTGGCCGTGAAGAACAGATTCTGAAGCCTATGTAGGCCATAAATTTATTTCTAAAAATTTGAGTTTTTTTTTGTTGTAGGGACAACCCGGATATTTGATTCTTTTTGCGAGGGAGATTGCGAATTGAAGAGGGTCGGTTTGAGAAAAAATATTTTTTTTTCGCGTTTCGGCAATAATTTTGCAATCTTTTATAAAGCAATTTTTTGCGGATTTTTTATGCTCCGCCACTGGAAAAAAATTAAATTTTATGGCTAAAAAAAATTGTTTAATTTTTGAAATCTTTCGATCTAAAGACCTCGAAAAAATTCAAACAGAGTGGACTAGTTAAAATCGCATTTAAATGAGCTCTTTTTTGTCCAAAAACAAGTTTTATTCAAAATTTCAACTCACATTTTCTGTGAACCGAAATCCACACAACAGCGAGTTGATAACCGAGCCCACAGCGAGGTCAGTAAACGCCTCAATGTCATGCTCTTGCTCTCTCTCGGCCAAGGCGCGATTCAGTTTCCGGCACATGGCCTCAAACTCCGCCAAAATCTGAAAAATCATGATTATTAATCATGGCTGGGCGAGAGTAAAAATAGGTTAGAAACTGCGTAAATGGAAGGCGGTTTTGAAATGGATAGGAAGTATGTTTCGTTGAAGGTTAAAGGTACAGGTTCAACGTGATTTTTACCATTTGCAAAGGAAAGAGAAAACCAAAAAAAAAACGTTTTGCAGAATTTGGAAGTTTTGAAATTTTATAAAATTTTCAGTGGGAATGAAGAAGCGAAATATGCAGAGGGGTCATTTCAATTAGTTACTGATAAGTTGATATATGTTTTTGGACAAAACAAATCAATATACGATATCCAAATCTAATACCCGTATTTTACCAAAAATTATAAAAAGGGCGAAAAAAATCCAATATACCAAAAAATTTCATAATTTGAAAAGATGACCAAAGAATCAACATTTTTTATCATACACTAAAAGATCAGAAACTCAGTGCCCAAAAAAAAAAACTCTAATTGTCCAAAAAATCCAATAAAATTTAGGAAATTGTTATGAAAAACGCCCAAGACTCACTACCAAGCTCTACAACATACCATACACTCCATTTGATTCTTGCCGTACCCAAAATCCCTCAGCGTTTTCAACGCGAACCTTCGCTGCTCGCTCCAATTCTCCCCGAACGTATCAATCAAGCCGTATTGTCCGCCGCGGACCATTTTACACAGTTCCGGTCGATACATTCGTCCGGAGAACGCGTCACCCTGCGTTACGAAGTACTTGTGCGCCAACTGGTACTCGTTGATGGCGACGATCGGCAGCGGGCCCATCCAGTACGTGTAGACGGGCCCGAACTCCCGTCTCCACTCGATGAACTTGGTCTCCCAGCGCTCCTGCCGCTTCAGCGTCCACAAGTTGCCCACCAGCGGCCAGGGCGTGGGGCCGGGCGGGAGTGTGGAGTGGGGCCGACAGAAGCGGCGATAAATGTAGAGAATCGCCAGCGTCGCAGCCGCGACCAGCAGCAAAGCGCCCATTTTTCATTGGCTCCGTGAGCGCCGTCGTTCCTCGCCGAATTAAATACGGGGAGGGGGGAGTGGGTAGGCGATTATACTTGTTACACCGGAGGACAGCCCATTTCAAGCAAATCAAAGAGCAGCGCCTGTTAAAAAGTGCGGGTTCTGCCGGTGGTGGAGGTGTCGGCTACATCCCCATTTCTTGTAATCCTCCACGAATTGTTGTTATTTTCGCGTGAAACTGAAGTTTCACCCCAAAAGTTCGAACTTTACCCCGTAATCCGAGCCTTCTCCCCACAAAATCTTCAATTCCCCCCAAATTTCAAAGAGTTTCAGCCCATTTCTTCGATGTTTCTCCCGTTTTTTTGATGTGAACACACTTCCGCACACCCCCCAAACAATTCGCTGCAAGATCACCTCCCATTTTTCAACGTTCCGAAAAAACGTTTCGGCCCGCAACGTGTTGAAAAATTGATCATTTCAGGTTAGAAAAAACAAAAAAAAATTGGCGTTTCGAACGCGCGATTACAGTTAATCAATCGGCGCGTTCCCAGAATCCCTATGATCAATGTTTCGGGTCGACTGTAAAATTGAAGCCGACAGCTTGTGGGGGATTGTTGGCTCTTGATTGGCGAAGAATTTGGGGCACGGTAAAGACGGCTTCCGGAGATTTTTTTAGAGAAAAAACGTTGGAAATGGTCTGGAGTTTGTTGGGAAGACAAAAAATAAATATATGCCAAAGTCAGTGCAGTATAACGAATGGCCATAGGTCGCAAACAAGTATTGAGCTTTTCATCAAGCCTCATTTCTGCATCCCAAGCGGTTCATGTAAAAAAGACAATTAGTTGTCGCCTTCAGCTCATTACTCACGGATTTTCTCTTTATTCTTTTCGTCTATGACGCAAATCAAAGTTACTGTAGCTCGTCATAGATTGCGCTGAGCTTCGTATAGTCTGCGATGATCTCATATAACCGTACACTTTTGATTTTCCACACCTTCTAGAAAGTGATTTCTACGCATATCCGCACCTTTTTTGCGTCAGCGCTAAGTTCGATAAGCCCTGCTTTGGTTTGAAGATTATTGCTAATGTGAGATCATGCGTTGACAAGCTAATAAAAGGTTTTCTTGTCATAATCCATAAGGGATTGCCAAAAATCTTATCGCTTGAACACAACCATCCCAGATGCGAAGCTGCTCCTCCTATAATAAATACTGAAACCCATGGAAACTTTTCCGATGCGAAAATCTCGACAAAATTTTCATAAATAGGGAACAACTTTGTAGGCAAAATTTATATGGAAAGGGCTCGAATTGTGTTGCTCAGAGTACGATGAAATTTGGCTAGAATCTTGATTGATTCTTCCAGGCTTATGCTAAAATTTAGCCTGTGCTTTGCACAATGAACCTGAAGTTTTCACGAATTGATGCTAGTCTCGCCATAAGATGCGTAGACTTTCTTCAGTGCAAAAATAAACAGTCATTTGCGCGGTGCAGATGTTTCAGCGAAATAGCAACTGAAAAATGCTCATGCTGCACCGATATTCACGATTTCAGGAAAGTCGGACGTGACGTAGTCTTAACATGGCTATAAAAACCAAATTTCTTCCTTCTGACTAACAACCTAGCGGTCAGGCCGACCCAGGCTAGCCGTTTCTCTGCCTGAACGTCATTTTATTGATCCCTTAATGCTACTGTCCTTATCAGGTAGCACAACATGTTAAAATGAAATTGCCACACCCAAAAGTTTGAATGAGCTTCATAACTTTTCTGCTGTGTTTTATGACCACAATGTGTTGAAGTATTAAACCCAAAAGGGTACTCAGTATAACATTTCAAAGCAAATCACAAGGCATACAATAAATCCGCAAACAAATATAGGCCTTTTAGGTTCATATCAGGTGCTTCGTTTGTTGGGAGCAATTGTAATCAGCACATTAGCTTCAAGTAAACACAAAAGGATTCATAATTGTAATCAAAGTACCAAAATTTTGTTAAATTTTCAGTGGAAGTGTTCAAAGTGCAACTTGTATCTTACTTCAATTTCGCACGTAGCTTGGGTATAGCAATTTTAGGAATTTTGGCTGGCGCCTTGTAGGTGTAGCCGAGACATACATCTTTGCCGGCGAGAGAGTGCTGGAGATGCGAAGACAGTCAGAGAGAAAACGTTTTTTGGCCATATCTCGTTCTAATCTTGTCCAATTTGCAGGCGAAAAATCTCGATGGTGCCTGCAAATTGCAAGCTAAAAAAATGGTATTTGCCATAGAAACAGTTAATCTAAATTTTTTAAAAATTTCATCATCGTTCGATTGGACAGGATAGGCTTTTTGATGACTATTTTTACCGAAAAAAGTCTACAAAAGTTTCTCATTTTTTGCACATTTTACTGGACTGTAAAAACACAACTCAGCGAACAATTTAATCTTTATGTTGAATCTCTCAACCTATCAGGTGGTCGTCACATCTACCGTAACCCCAAGAAGACGCTGCCATAAATTACCTTGACCCTTTCGGCCATTTTTCAAATTCGACAACAATTTCCAAAATGGTCGGCGACAGACGTGCAGATCTGCAAAGATAACCGGAAATTTTTGGGCGATAAAATCGCATAATTAGTACTTTTTTTGGGTCAAAAAACAGGAGAGTAAAGAACAAAAGCGCAAAAGATACGCAAAGATTTTTTGTTGGCCACATTGGGCCTAAAAATTGCAGTTTTTGCGGCTGCTGCTGATTGCGAATCCTTGTCAGCGATGATGATTTGGGATGATATCATTTTTGATAGAGTTATGACAAAGAAATTTGTATTTTGGAAGTTTTATTGAGAGTTATAGAGACTAGAAAAGGCATTGCAAAATCTTCCGGGCAACCATTTTGCGAGCAGCCGACATTTAAGAATTACGAATTTTCTATTACCGTAATCTACGTAGAGTGATAGAAATTTTACATTGGCAACTCCATGGTACAGATAAGTACACGAATCAATAAAATTCATCCACCGTTTTCAAAGTTATGGAAGTTTGTGTTCAAAAAAATGATTTCTGAACCTTTAGAAATGCCTGGTTAACCTTACGGTAACTTTTCAAGAGACGTATACACCTGGAAATGTAATTTGCAAAATCCAACTGAGAAATCCATAGTTAGAATTTCCTGTTGTAAGCAAATTTTGGCTGATTTCCAAACATGCCCGCAGAATCTCCGCAGTTTTTTTAGCTGCTATGCAAAAAAAAACTAAAATTTTCAAAATTATTTTTTTCAGGTTCAAGTTCCCAATTTTTCGTTTGTTTCCTTTTTTTGATAAGCCTCTATTTTTTGTGCTTTGGAATGTTGAAAAATTTCCGTTTCGAACGGATTTTGCGACACCCGAGGTAATAATCCGTCCCATTATTGCAGCAGCCAAAAAAAGGATGTGAGTTTTACAAATTTGGGGATCAGCCGTGGGGAAATCCGATTTCCGACGCTCATTATTTTCGATTATTGCGGACCAAAGGACAATTTATACAGCAAAACGAAAGAATTCTTGGAAGAGCCCGAAAGCTTTTGATAAATTCGAAAAAATTAAAAATTGAAAATCAGAAAAATTATAAAAAAAATTATGAAGGTTATATTCGAAAAACGATACAAAAATTCTCTTTCCAAATACTCCAAAAGTAAAAAAATAAGAAAAAATGCCTATACTTCCACTTCAATTCGATTAATCTTGCATGTATCTACATCAACATAGTTTTTTGATTTTTTTTTTGAATATATCCGGCATTTCAAAAGAAGTCTCTAATTACTTCTTTAGTCTCGTAGATTACATCGGAGACCCCGATTTTCACTATGAATGATGGCTTGAGTGCTTTCGGGAATTTCACAATATGAAGCCCGCGCCACCCATGTTTTATGAAAATTTTTGATTTCATGCTTTTTTGTTCTGCGTTGCGTCATTTTACATTGTAATCATGAACTTCTCCGAGTCTATGTTTTATTTCTAATCGGCTCAGCCCGATTATGGTCAGCATTACTGACCGAATTTTGGTGAATGACACTCTTGACTATATTAATCTTCTCTTGGGTGTGGTCGAACGCACAACCCGGCTTAAAACCCGGTCTAAAATACGTCTTAGCGACCCAAGCTTGACTCACACTTCATTTCACACCTTTATTGACGCATTTACAAGAAAATTTTTAGATAGAAATGAGAACATTGACGTATACAGACCAGTCAGTTTGTTGTGTACAGTGAGCTTCAAAAAATTTAAAAAAATAAAAAGAATTAGAATTGCTGTGCAAATTGTTGATAAATAACCTTAAAAAAGACGCCAAGGAGGATCCATGGGGCTACTGAGAAGAGTTTTTTCAGCTTCTTTGGCACAACTACTCGATTTCCCGCTCTTTTCATCATCTTGTACTTATCAGGAGTGCAGGGTGGGTATCGGCAACTGAAATGGAAAAAAAAATTAGTAAATGGTCTTGAAGATTTTTTAACATCAGTCTTTGGCAATATACAGGGATAGCAAGACGCTCAAATTTTGATGAAACTTAGGGCAAATTTTGTTGTTCAAGTTTTAATGAAACTTTTTTCAGAAACGATCGGGATTTTTCGATTGAAAATTGAAAAAAATGTGAAACTTTTTCTGCAGCTTTGGCATGAAAATTTTGCGTCTTACTTCTGCCGGAAAGGTATTACGAAAAAATCTTGGTGAAGCTTGCGGAGATAAGGTCAAAAACCGACTCGGCTTTTACGCACTATCTCCTCGGTAAATATTTTTGAATAACTCAAAATCATCAACGAAACCTGAGCTTAAACTTTCAGTAATTGTTATGAGCTCTACTCCTAAAATGTGTTCAAAAATTTAACAATATTTGAGCCCTGCACTGCTGACATTTCTCTTGTTTATTATGTAGACATCTACTCATCGAAGCCCTCCTCTGCATGCCCCCTAAATTTTCAGTCAACTCCGAACTTACGCTGTCAAATTATCGGCAAAGAAGCCTCGATGAAGGACGGACTTCCAATTGCTGAAGGTGTCAAAGCCCGCCTTTCCTCGATATCGCCCCATTCCGCTGTGACCAACGCCGCCAAATGGTAGAGTGTCAACTGAAAAAGGATCTCATTTTTTCTTCAACTCTGCTCACCTGCAAAGTTCAGCATCAAATCGTTGATTCCAATGTTGCCAGTGCTGATTTCGTCCACGAATTTTTTCTGCCTCTTCTTATCGTTGCTGAAAATGTATGCCCCCAGGGGCTTCTCTTTCTTCTTGATCAGATCAAAGGCATCCTCAAATTCGGCTACTGTAACAATCGGCAAAATTGGGCCGAAAATTTCTTCTGATAATAAGACGTCATCTTTGTCGACTTCAACGATCATGGGCGGGATAAACAAGTCATCGCGGTCGAATTCACCGGCTTTAATTACCACATTTCCTTTGGAATTATCGACCATCGACTTTATTCGACTGGAAAATGGGAGGAATTTAATAAATTTGTAAAAGAAAACTTGCGTATTTCCAAGTTTTTATAATAGATATATCTAGTTGAAAATGTTCAAAAATTTCCTTAAAAATTTCATATCCTTTTAGAAATTGGTCGCTGACCCAATACAAGGTGCAATTTGGGAACAATCTACAGAGTTTTTCCCATGTCAACTCGATTACTTTCGATGAATTTGTAATGATTATGGGCTGTGACAAGTCTGCCGGCGGGTTCCGGGACTCAAACTACTCGACTTTTTGTTGTAATGAAAGCAGAGAACAGGGTCTAACAAAGCCTTTTTTGTAGCGCAAAAAAAAAAAACATTTCTTTGTACAGTCTGTACAACAAACTGTCATAATACAAAACCTCTATATAACGATCAATTTCTGAAGCTTTAAAATCGAGTTTTTGGCCAAATTGAATCTCTAAACAGCGAAGACCTTTTACAACGAACAAAACTTTTTGAACTCTCACAAGTACTGTATTAGGCGAGCAAAAAATTTAGACTTACTCAAAATGATGATGCGAGACCAATCGCATAAAATCGTTGCTCTTTTGCGCGTCTTCTCCATAAAATTCGACAAGAATCCGCTTTAAAATCGGCAACAATTTGAATTTCACATCCGCGGTTGTGATCAAATGATTTGGCGCCAGACATGTTTGCCCGGCATTGGAGGTTTTGCCCCAGAGGATTCGGCGGGCGGTGATTTCGAGATCAACGGTTTCATCGACGAGGACGGGGCTGAAATTGAGACGGCATTAATAGAGAAAATGGTCGAACTGCGACGCTCAGATTTGATGAGATCTTGATAAAAATTTGAGGTAGATTTTTCAAGGTATATATGAGATATTTAGCTTTAAAAAATGAGATTTTTAGGCTAAAAGTTGCCAAAAGTTTGAGGCATCTGTGATTAGATATGAAAAATTGAAGTAAAATCTACCTCTGGCCTCCAAGCTCAAGTACAACTGGTGTCAAGTGCTTGCTGACAGCGGCCATGACCAGTTTCCCAATTCTCTCACTTCCAGTATAACAAATGTGATCAAATCGCTCGTTCAGAAGCGCTGCAGTCGCGGGACCATCGCCTTGAATCACTTGAATTAGCCGCTAAAAAGGTTGATAGTTTAGCAGGTTAACAGGGAAAAATTTTGCAATCTCCTCAGCTTTCAAATCTCTCACCTTATCAAAATACTTGTGATACATCTCCTCGAACAATGCCGACGTATTCGGCGTCAATTCACTCGGCTTTAGGATCACCGAATTCCCCGCCGCAATCATGGCAATCAACGCCGGGACAGTCAGATTAATGGGGTAATTGAAGGGTGAGATCAACAGACAAACACCGAACGGCTCTTTGCGCACATACGGAGTGTCCAGCATGCAGACCAGCGTCCGATCGACGTACTCATCCTCCATCCACTCCTTCAGATTGTCCAAGAACTGGTCGCATTCCATTTTGGCCACACCAATCTCGTAGAACTCGGTGAATTCGGGCCGCCGACGAGTGTCTTTGTAGATGGCCTCGCAAATGCGATCGCTTTCGAGGGTCAGCATTTGTTTTATTTTGCGGATCTGCTCCATTCGAAAATCGTAGGAGCGGGTAGCACCGGAGTTCACGTAATCCCTCATTTGCGCGATTTTCTGGAACGGGGAGGATTACAGGCGTAATGGTCGGGATATTTTTTTAATTCAAAAATTTGCATATTTTTTGAATCCGGGATTTCACCACAGAGGAATTGATTTTTTCGACTTTTTCGTGTATCGTATTTTACGTAAAATTCTGAGACTTTTGGACCCGATATTGCCACATTTATGCTCTGCCTTTCCCGCAATAAAATCGATTTTCAATATTTTTCATTTTCAACATGAAGGTATCAGTTTACTATAACATTTGTGGCATCAAACAAACAGGGAAGCTCTGAGAACTCAGGAAAATCTCAATCTGAACTCTTGGCCAAAAAATAAAAAAGTTATAACCAATTCAAGTCTGGCCCCCAAAGATGCCCCACGCTTTAAAAAAAGTCCCATAATGCTCACCTGTCCATTTTCAGTCAGCATTTTTGACAACTCTTAGTATTGCAAATACAGAACAGCAATATATGTAATTAATTTCTCCTCTGAATCCTACAAGTTTCGAATCACCAAACGTCGTTGGTATGGGACCTCTCAGTGTAATGGCTCAAAGGACGATGGCCTCTCAACGCTTCGCTCTTTTATTGTCGCCGTCACAGTAATTTGAGTCCGGACTTTAGAACCGCCGACGGAGCGAAGATGTCATGGAGAGGAAGGGCGGAACAAACACTTGTTACCGTTTGGAGCATTCGCAATCATTGTAATTTATGTACACTGATTCTGTTGGAGATCATCGGGAAAATGTCAGAAGAGGAACTGAACCAATTGAACGGGAAAGGAAAGGACAACTTTAATGTTGCGCCCATTTTAGCGGAGTCGCCGTTGGGAAATTGTAAACAAATGTCTGTCAACTGTTTTGTCGGAATTAACAACTTCCTTTTTTAATTGAATTATAAAATAGAGAAGCAGGGGGAACAGACGTGTTGTTGGGATAAGGTCGATCTTCTTAGAGTATTGCTTTAAGCACCAAATTTAATAGGAAGAGCTCAGAATAGACGATCAAATCTTTATAAACTTAGGTGCAAATTTAAATTGAACTACTGTAAATCATTTTTGAGACCCCTAGCTGGCGTGTTTAAGACATAATCTTGGTTTTTTCTCGAAAACCGATCAAAATTGGGCGATTTTGTTTCGAAAATCGCTAAATAATTTGTCGATTTTTTTGCAAATTTATTTATGAAAATTTATGGCCTCACTTCGACCGGAGAGGGCAACGTTTAATTCTACAAGAAATCATATCTTTCTACGCCAAATTGGTACGGCAAAAAATCCTTTTTCCCTCTGCCCATTCTCCACATTTCCCGCACTCTCTCGGCCACAAAAGTCTTTGAATATTTCGTTTCAGCGTTGTTGTGTGTTTTCGAACGACTGTTGTAAAGCGGAAAACCCCGAAGGTAATTCGATAGACACAAATAGGTACAATCACCCTGTTGTAAAGTCGAATATACTGTATGTTATGCAAGCTGGCGAAGAGTTTTTAGTATGGATTTTGTGCTTACCGGCTTTTTGAGTCATAGAGCGAAGTAATCGCGGAGAGCGGACGTTGAAAAAAGGCGTTTCGGCTATGCCTGCGAACTTTTCGACAAAAAATTATTTTTTTTTGGAGAATCATCTAGCAGAACGGCATCTGTAACATAGACTTCAAAAGATTATGTGCTTTTTGCTTTGATACTGCTGCTGGATTTTTATCGAATATTAAAAAGTACATTCAGCTTTATGCAGATCTCTCTTCAGAATTTGATCACTTGATTCTCATTTCTCGCATATTTTGCAATGATTCTACACTAACTATCCGATGACTTGTTCGACTGTAAAACGTTTCCGTCTTGTTCATTTTTCCCGTCATCATTTATTTTCATGTAATGGCCAACGAAATCTTCCGCCGCTCAAAGCAATGATCCTTTGCTCCCACGGAAATGATTATTCTCGCTACAACAGAAAGGAAGTTTCGGTTGTAACAGATAAAAACATTACTCCGGAATGACTAATTAATGCAGAAAGTTTGAGCTTGTGAAACAAAGATTGTTTTTTACTATATCTTCTCATTTTTAGTTAAAAGTTTTTGTTACTCTCTCTGAAAGATGACTGTGACTATACTCTGTAGATGCACTTTTGCATTGCAGCTTTAGCGGCATGTGATTTAAACGATCTTTAGTTGCGCTTAGAGTCGCTTCCTTTGGGTTAATGAGGCGTTCTAAATAGGCGGAGCACATGCCCTCGATCAATCTGCTCCATTCAAGCGGAGAATTCAACGTCCCCTCAGGCGCCAAGTGAACATAATAACAAATTTTTCTTGTCCCCAACTTCCAGCCTCTCAAAAATCAAATTTATTAACTCATTTTTACTATTCTATAAATATTCCGAACAAACAAAGCAAACAACATACAAAAATACGTGTTTTGGCAGGATTTTGGTATCTAAATTAATATAAAAAAACGAAGGTCTTGAGATATGATCACAGTAAAACGCGGCGAAAGGAATTCCATGGCGGATTTAGCTGATCTCCGCCTCCAGTTGGCGAATGTATTCGTTGATGTTGTCCTTGTCCGCACAACAACTGTCGAATTGGTGGCTGGACGCGATGACTTGGGCGCCCAGGTAAGCGGCGTGGTAGCGCCAGGGAGAACCGTGGACCTGAAAAAAATTTTTTGATGTATGACTACACTATAATATAATGTAAAATAAAAAAAATTTAATAGTGGGAAGTGCTCCAAGAGCGACGCTAGAATTTTGATGAAACTCGACAAAAATTTATAACATTTTTTCGTACGCATATCCGAAATTTCCAGTTTGCGCTTTACAGCAACTTCGACCATCGGTTATACTCAAAAACCCCTTACCTGAACAAATATTGAGCTTGGTGCAATCTTGCTGAGTTCCTGTTCCAGACGTTCGGCGAGGCCGGGCAACAATGAAACGCCTCCGGCCAAGTAGATGTTCCTAAAAATAAATACATTTCTTACACGTAATGAAAAAATGGAGATACTCCTATAATTAGGTAATTTAGAGGTTATAGTCATCTTTTTTTTAAACACGTTTTTTCTAAGGGTCGAGCATAGCTGCGACGTTAAATTCAGAGTTGTTCAATTTTGTTCAAACTTTCAAATATTAGTTGCCTATGAACCCTTATTACGATTTCACAAAAAAATTTCGAAAAAGTTACTGTAGCTGGGCGTACTGTAGTGGAGGTCCATTTTTATGTAGTTGTAGTTGAGCCTCGCTCGACCCTTAGAAAAAACGTGTTTCAATTTAATGCATGCAGAGTCAAAAAAAAATCTTTATTGATAGGTATCCTTGCAGTTGATTTTGGCCTAAAATGCACTCTTTTGACCTCTAAAATAAGTTTTCGTTCTGCGAAGGCTCGTTTTACTGAGATTTTTTGTAGATTAGAGTTAAATAACCCTACCTATACAACGTTCTTCTGCTGTCAATCGGGCTTTGTTGGATGACCTCATGGATGAGATGATGGATTCCTTTGGTCTCAATGCCCCATTTCTTGGGGTTGAAGAGTCCTTCAGCGACTAAATGTCTCTCCTCATCGACTTGGATTTGTGTTGGGAATCCCTCTCCCAGTTTGAGAGCACTCAAATCCACAGTAATTGGGCCTTTCTTATCCCCGGTGGATTCGGAGTCGACGTAGCAAACTTGCCGAACAACCTCCTAAAAAATACAAAATTTGGAGAGTTCAAACTTCTCGTATATTTTAAAAAACTTTCGATTCAGCAGTGTAAAGTCTTACCTGTAAGACAATATGCTCAACCGGCGAGTGGAAGCCGATTCCAGCTCCATTTGCCGAATTCTGAAGCCTTCGTTTCAACGCGTTGCGAATCTGTTGTGCTCCAAATGGCAGCGAGACAATGGCGCTGTCCACAATATATTCGTCGATGACTGGGACAATGTGCAACGTCTCTCCGATGTCGACAACAACCCCAGTCGTGACGTCGTAAGAGTAGAGGATCAACGAAGGCTGACGGGCGATTGTCGCGGCTTGGAAATGAAGGGCTTCGAGGAGAAGATGGAGAAGTTGCGAGGCGTATGTGGTGGGGACATCTTGAGAGATGGAAAGGAGGATCTGGAAGGAAAGAAAGATTAGTTTGAGGGATCCAAATCTGAGCGGCAAGCGGGACACATAGCTTGGCCAATCTTACGGAGCAATCTAAATACCCCAGCAACTTGGAAAAGTTATTGAACGGTTAATTTGGCCAAGGATTCTGGCCCGTAGATTAGCCAAACTGCCTGAATGACAAAGCTAACCCATCTGTCCGGACCTGGGCAGCGAATTCAACTGGTTATCGCTACAAACCAATCTTTTTATCAGGCTTTTTGCCGACTACAGTCACTACATCGACTATTTTCCAAATTAAAGCCATTTCTTTCGTCATTTCTCACCTTATACTCGCCAGCTTTGATCTTCAAGTCCTCCAGCACTTTCCTCACTGCAGCATCAACAATTCTGCTGTTGAAGTTGTATCGCTCGATTCCAGCGCCATCAGCAACATCCATCGGCCTCTCCAGCCTTCCTTTCCGCCGATTCTCCGGGGCCAAGGCTTCGTTTCCGACAATGATTTGATTGTCGTTCGTTACTAAAGCGATTGCGGGGAAGAAGCATTGAGGAAGCGAGGGTTTGTTGGTCAAAACTCCCGCTCGGACCGAAGCAGCGCCGATCTCAAGGAGGAGAACTTTCTGAAATGGAATTTTGAGAAGTCTACATACAGTGCAGGACCTGATCCAGTGGCAAAAAACGTATAATTTTGCATCCGGGAAGGATTTTCATAAGCGCGCCCGCTCTTTTTGTGAGGGACCTTTCCAAACAAAGTTTTTTCACTTGGATAGGGAAGCATTTTACCACATTTTTGATACTTCCCGGATGCAAAATGGCACGTTTTTGGCCACTGAATAAGGTCCCACATTACACGTTTCCCTTACCTTCTGATAATGTGGGACCACCGGTTTGGCCGGCTGAACATAGGCGTCGATAAGCTCGGTCTGACTCTGACTCAACAAGACTTGTCGCCATTTCTCGAACACATTCGATGGCGCTTTAACCAGCACGTTCACGTTCTCTTTTCCGCCTTGAATCCGGAATGTCCAGTCCTCCTTGTTGGCTGTGATTTTGGTGTCCGTCAAGAGGACGTCGCTGATGGGATGCTCGTCCGCGCAATGCGACGCAAACCATGCGAATCGACCGTCACGAATGCGGCAATACAACGGCCTCCAAGGCTTCTCAATCTCGGGAACTTCGGTGTTCTCGTCGTTGGGGAATTCCATGTGACCTTCCATGGTGTCGTAGGCGAGACGATGCTCGACAAGCGGGTTGTAGTCCACCTGAGAATGAGATTATTGTTGATTTTTTGGGGGTTAAAATGGCTTTTTTGACTTCTAATTACAACGAAAATATTGTAGAACGTCATCACATCGTTCTGCACTTTTTTGGAATGAATCGGACACCGATTTTTTCTAATTTTCTACGACATCTTTCAGCTTTGATTACAAATTCAGTTCTGCATAAAAGTTGTTAAAAGTGGCATGGCTGAAAAGATCTCTCTTTGCTCTATAAGCATTGCAAATTTCACAACTCAATCTTATACCATACGCTCGCTAGACCCGCGTAACTGTCGACAACTAATAGAAAAATCGAAAAAATTGGTTTCCGATTCATTCCAAAAAAGTACAGAACGCTGTGCTCTGTAGAACAAACTCAAGAACATTTTTTTTGTTTTTACTGCAGTCCACTCACATGATACTGTCTCCTCAACAACTCTGCCGGATTCCACAACGCGCTCTGCTCGGTGTCGACCGTGTTTTCCAACGCCTCCGAATTGGGTCCCTTCCCATTTCCGATGGGAAGTTCGTCGCGTAGCTCGGCCATTCGTCGATAAAAGTGGCCCCGGATGAATGGCTGTCGCGCCAGGTAGATGAGGAATGGATGCGAGCCGAAGTGAAGGCCGAATGTGAAGTCGGGCTCGGACGGGCGGCGCACGTAGGGATCGCGGCGTTTGAAGGAAGCGAGCCGACGTTTCCGACGCACAGACCCGTTCTCCGCGACGTGCCGAAGAAGGACTTGCGAGAAGGGAACTTCAAAGTCCTCGTCGCGAGGCGGAAGCTTCTCGGAGGAACGGACGTGCCTAAAATACGGAAAATAAGAAAAAATTGTGAGGCAAAATGAAGTGATTATAAAATACGATCATTTGATGGTGAAACATCATCAAAGGAATTTTTTAAAACCGGGTGTGGCAAGAAAATTTACTCAGCTTTTTTTATTTTTTAAAATTATAAAAAAAAAACGTTACAAAAAGAAAGTCAAAAATAAGATAAATACTTTTTGCAATATCATTCCAAATTTGGTGACTAACGGAAATATGAATCACAATTTCATAACGGATATTTGACCATGAAAAACAAACTGCCACATTAGAAAAAAAACGTGACTTTTGTGCAGGTTGTGATGCAAGATTGCATAAAAAAAGTTCTGACAATTGTGAGACTTATGAGAATTTTTATTGCCGATTTTACAGAAATTACCCAGATCTTTTGAACCTACATTTAACAAAATATATTTTTTTCTTTTTTTGGCCCAGCAGTTTCAAGATAGATTAGAAGAAATCGTGAAGCTTTTTCAGCTAAAAATCAAATTTTTCTGACCGAAATAGTACAAAAAGTTACAGGCAAAAAAAGCCTTTTTTCTTGGGACTCTCCTTATTTATCGTGTTCTCTCGAAAGAATAACGTTAAATAAGAGTGACCCTCCAAACTATGAGTTAAAATTTCTATTTTTTTCAAAATTAACATTCGGAGTTATTTGCAAATTCAAAAAAAATCAAAAAAAGTTGCTTAGGGAATTACAACTAAAAAAAAATATTTTTTGTTGAATGCAACAATTGTAATCAATTTCTTATGTTTACAAGCAAAGAATTTATGAGATAAGGAATAAAAAAGGCGGAAAATTTCTTCCCATGGAAAGTCAGATGATACGCAAAAAGAGAAAGGACAATATTTACATTGCGTTCATAATCCGAGAGAAATAAAACGAAAATATAATAGTAAAAAGTGAAGGGAATAGTCGTAAAAAGGGGTGTTTAACCTTTGAAAATATTTATTTTTTCATTTTTTTAAATTTTTTGAAATTTGAATTTTTTCAATTTTTTGCCAAAAATCGCATTTTCCAATTTTTCGAAAAAATTCCCTAGAGCTATATTCGCACCGAAAACCACTCAAACCCAGCCTTTCCATAAAAATATTATTGTTGTCGCGCTCGGCTAATCTGTTATCCGTGGAAATCTCTCCTTTTTCGGTCTTGAGGGGGTTTCCGCGCAAAGATAAAGAGTTTTGGGGCGAGAAAAGGGCATTCAACTGAAAACAATATTCAAAAAATGGACAGAAAATCAAAATAAAGTCCCTTAGCTATAGATATCAATCATTAAATTGGAAAAAATACAGATTTTTGGGCGAAAATTTCAAAAAAATCCCATAATTTTTTTTCCGAAAATTTTTTTCAAACTGTTGGCAGCGCTCTATTTGTCATCTAAGGGCCATAAAAACGAAAGTACTTGGAGGGTAGCGTGCCAACGTCCTTGAGTTTTAATCCCTCGCCAAAACGTCTTAAGCCCCTTGCAAGTGGGCTACCAAAAATGGGCGATTCTAATTGAACCAGGGGTTTAATTTGTTTTTTCTGCCTTTCTGTGTGTTTACGGAGCGAGTTAAAGAATAGGGAGTAAAGGTTTGCTCTGAACTTTTTAGGAGTCATTCTTTTTTGAGAGCTTTTTCAGAGGGTAAAAATTGGCTTTCAAAAATTTCCGCTGCTAAAAAATGAACGAAAATCCGGATTATGGAGAAAAACAAACTCTTTAAAATAACCCTAGCAACAAGTAGAAGCGTTGTAGTCCCGCTACTACTTAGAATAATGAACATAAATTATTTTTTGGGACAATTAGCGACAGAAGCTAGAGGTCAGATGGATAGGGTAAGCTTAATAGCCCGTTAAACTAACTTTTGCCAGATGCTGCGGCAAAATGAATATTGCCTGAGGACAGTAGAGGGAGTTAGAGCATTTTAGAAGCTTTTATGCAGATATAGAAAGCAGCCAACGTTGAAATTTAACAAGAAATAAAAGAAAAGGCCATGTTTTTGAGTTGATCACAAAAACCGGCTCAAAATCCGTATTTAAAAAAAGTAAAAAGACTCCGTAAGCAGTCTGTTAGACCACTACTAATACTGGCTTAAAATAAAATTACAATTCACGGCCAAAAATTCCTTTTAAAGTCGTTAAAAACCCAGGAAATCCCCAAAAATCCCCCTGAAAATCCGAAACTCCAAATATTACTCAAAGTCCCCTCAAAATTCCCCGGTCCTCATCTCCCCTAGGGCCCAAATCTTCGGAAAACGACATTCTCAGACACCACTGTTCTCGGCCATCTTTTGGTGGCCAAGAACAGCGTGTCCGGGGCGTCTTTTTCGCGAGGACAAAGCCTTCTGAATTCTCCCCCATTCTCTGGTGGAAAAAAGCTAAAGCGAATGAAGGAGGCGCCCCCCCCCCTTTCTCCAGGGTTTTATCCCTCGAAAAAAGAGCAAAATTTTCTCTTTCCAAAAAAAATTTTTTTTTTTGCTTTTCTCGGCGCTCTCTCGACCTCCATTTCCCTCAAATCGGAGAGAGAAATGAAAGGGGAGAAAGCGGAGAGAAGAATGGGGGAGAAAAAGAGAGACTTGGAGTTGCGTTGATTCCAATGACCAGCCGGCTTAAGGTCAAATTTTGCTTTTTTGAACCGATAAACAATCGGGTTGTCACCTTAAAAATGAGGTTTTTTAGTTGGGAAATGATAGAAGATAGCAATTGTTTAGAGAGAAAAATTAAAATTTTAGCAAGGAGAAATTTTTTAGGCTTATGAAATGGATGATTTGTTGTACATGAACTGCATAACATATTTTACCTTAAAAATTTTATATAAAAATTCAAAAAAAGCCCCAAAGAATTCTCAAAAATTATCGTCAAGTCTCGAAAAAATTTGTCCAATTAAATTTTTTTAAATTTTAAGCCATGGATTTTATGGAAATGATAGAGATTTTTAGGCCAAAAAACTGGCAAAAGATGGAACTTTCTTCGTCTTCTCCAGCCGAAAATTTTTGGCCCTGTTAGAAATACAACAAAAAATAGTGTCACAAAAAATCAATTTTCTCATAGCAGAGTCTAAAAAGTTATGACTAAAAAGGTTTTTCGTCTGTCCAGCTCTCCCCATTTCACGTGCTCTCTCATGAAAGAATTGTTAAATTCTCAGCTTCCCTAGCAAAGCGAAAACTCAAATTTTCCGGGATTAATTTGTAGATTTTTTACGGTATCTGCGCAAATTTTTAAAAAAATCGAAAGGCTTTACATTTTTTTTAAACTTTACTAAAAATCTCCCAAAATATTACAATCTCGCCTGGATTCGAACCCCGAAATGACAAGCCCAGAAACCCGCTGCGAATATTACTATGACGAAAAGGGATGGGTTTCCATCCGTCGGTCTTTTCGTGGCTTTTATTTTGTTCCGGCCGGCTTCGTTGGGTCCGGAAATGCGGCCCAAAAACTGAACGCTTTGTCCACTCGGAAAGCCGAAACGAAAACGGGGAAATCTTGCGAAAAACAGGAGAAAAGTCAATGAGTTGGAAAGGGCTTGCAATGAAAAAAACTTATTGCAGATAAACAAAGCAGTTTGAAATTTGCGAAAACAGTAATCAGGGGTGAAAACAATGGTGCTTTATGAAAAAAAATTGTTGTAAAAATACCGCATGAAATTCGGTTTATAGAAAGCTACGAATGGTTGGAAAAATCGCTGAAAATTTCAGCCCCTGCCTTTCAGAAACCGCCAAGATATTCAGCGAACATTTATAAGCCAATCTTAATTTTCATAATTTTACAAACCCACCTCAAAGACTGCCGAACATCGTAAGCTTCATCATAATCCTGTTCCGGAGTTATGGGCTTTGGTTCCACGTATTCTTTTCGGCTGTAATGTCTTTGTCGCTTGCCTTCGATACTCGGCGGAGGAGATGGTGGGATTTTCTGACGATTCTCTTCTTCTGAAATACGCAGGATTAATTGTAGACGATTTTAAGGTATCTAAAAATTTAATAAAGCCCAAAAAACTAGCTTTAATTTCTCCCTTACCAATGAGTGGGACTTGATCATAAATCCTCTCATAGACTTGATCGTACGTCTGTAATCTCGTGGCCACATCTTTCCCCAGATTCCTGTGGATGCTTCCATAAGTAAACTCATCAGCATTGTCCTTGGCCTTCTTAAAAGCCGGACTTTGATACAGTTCTCCTTCATTCGACCTTCTACTTGGCCTTCGAGCTCTCGGCGGCTCATCATAAGCTCTCTGAACTTCGCTATAGCCTCTGGAATCATAGCTGCCACCGGCTCTAACTTCAGAAATATTTTGGCCGATTTTTTGGCCGATCCCTCCAATTTTCTGCGCAATTCCTTGACCTTCTTTTCCCTCTTGATGCCACAATTCCTCTCTGATATGAAGTCGATCCAGTCCTGAGGGCGCCGAGATGTTCTTGCCCTTCGTCTTCAGCAACACTCCGACTGTAATTTTGTTCACTTTGCTGGGCTCCAACGGGAAGCCCTTCTTCTGCGTAACTGGCAGCAAATACGCTGGGATCTGCCATCTTTGATGTCTCAGATACTCATCCAAAAATCGATCTTCAGCTTCGAAATTTTTGAAGAATTTGCGTTGACGGAAAGAATCTCGATCCACTTTATAGAACTCACTGTACTTGTCATCATAGACCTTGTAATTCTCGCCTTTTATCCGGACAACTTCATGAACGCGCCCTTGAAAAAGAGTGTGAGATTTTTTGAGTTTTGGCCGAGGAATCTGGTAATAATGTCGAGGGTCGGTTTGAATGGAGGTCGAAGTTGAGGCAGACGATCCTCGTTTTGGCCTTGGAATTAGGACCGGCTTGACTGTTTGGACTCCTGTAGACGGTACTACCCTTGCAGGGAAGGGTTCTCCTTCGATATCGGAGCCAGTCTCAATGTACATGGGATCGATTGGCTTTCTCGCTGGAATTCTTGGGATCTCAGAATATTCCGAGGTTGATTTCCGTTCATATCTGGACTTCAATTCTTGACCAATAGGGATCGTATGTTCCAAATCTTTTCGTCTCTCTTCATAAACTTCATCGTAGATTCGTTCCTCAATCTTAGCTCCTTGTCCGACTTGACTGTCGGTCAAAGACAAAGTCTTTTGTCGTTCATACCAATGCCCTCGTCTGACGTACTCAACTTCTTCCACTTCCTGAGACCTTTCGTAGTCTTGCGGAACGTAAGACTCAATTGGTTCTTTTGCCAATTCCGGTTGTTTCACCAAGATTTCATCGACTTTACTGTCTTCTCTCTTGATTTTCTGGCCGATCTCAGTATAAAGATCCTCGATAATCCTTTCTGGAAGATTTTCGCGTTCTTCTTTGGGGATTTCTCGATAGATCGGAGGATAAGGAGCAAATTCATGGCCAAATTCTTCATCTCTTTTGAGAATGTGCTGTTTATAGTCATCATCAAAGTCGTCAAACTTCTCGTCAATGTAATCCCTTCGTTCTAGCGGATCTTCAGCCCTTCCTTGAGGCACTTCATCATAATACCCTCTAGAATCCCTTTGCAGATCAATGGGGACTTCATCGTAGATGGGCTCTTCAATTCTCGTTCGAATTGGCTCCTCGTATTCTCCTTCGGGAACTTGTTGCCAATGGTAGACAACATGCCTTCGTTCTCCATCCCATGGCAGATATTCCAGGCCGGAATTGTAATACAAAAAGCGATGATCAAATTCAACGTCGGGTGGGTAATCATACTCAATTTGCTGCCCAATATCTGGAGAGAGGGCTTGTGATGACGAAGAATCCGTCTTTTCCACATCAACATGTAAAATTTTCTCCGACTTCCCACTGCTCGAGGATTCGGGGCCAAATTCGATTGTCTTCTCTTGAATTTCAATCTCCGGATGATACGAGATTTCGCTGAATTCACGGGATCGCATTAAAATTTCATCAGGCAATGAGTCCGTAAGCCTTTCGCCGAGCGGCTCATGATAATAAATCGGCTCAAAAGTCGCACCAGAACCAACTTCAGACCTCTTATTTAGATCCTCCTGTTCTACGGGTACAGTATCATATATTTCCCCGCCAATTTCGCGGCTTTGATGTTCTGTCTCAACTGGGACATCATCATATATTACACTTGATCTGGTCCTTCGATGTCTTCTTTCGATCTCATCGGAATCTTCAATATAATAACTGTAGGTGTAATGGATTCGATGGTAGATCTCTCGATACTCTGATTTATCAATAAACTCAAATTCAATATCCTTCAATGGCCGTAGGAGATCATACAGAACAATTTTCTCGCCGAAATCGTCTATCTGCCTCTCCAAATCGACCTTCTGGCCGATTGGGTCACTATATTCTCTTTCAATCTCTTGTCCAATTGGAAGCTGAGCTTCTTCTGGAGCATTCTGAAGTCCCTCATCATATCGAGTGTATTCGATAACCAATGGTACATAGATCATCTCAAGGGATCGATAAAGGACCACGTCATAAACCTCCTTGACATTTTTACTCGATGACAAAGTGGAGCTGCTATAGCCGAGCTCGTCCGACGACCTCTTCAATTCATGGACATCAGCGTATTGGAAATGATGAGTGTAATGTTTTGGAGGGCCGTAGTCCTCTCGTATCGTCGTTCGACGTCGGATCACGGAGGACTCAGCTTTTCTCTTGACAGGGTCCGTTAAAATCCCCCGTTTGCGGTCCTCAATCACCAAGTCTCGTTGAGCACTAGGATCGATCTCCAGGAAGCTGGCGCGGAACTCTCGAGACCGCCAGAGCAAAACTGGAGCATCTTGATCGTCTCTGAGGGACAAATGAGATTCTCTCCTGATGGTATCAGCTTCTGATGCCTGTGGAACATCTTCATATGGCTGATCTGGAAGTAAAACTTCTTTCGAGGTGGATGGAAGGAGATCATGGGTTGGTTCAAAGGGAATAATCGGTAGGTCGTGTTCGTAATGAATTTTCTCAACAATAACTGGCTTAGGAGGCTCGACATCTTCCCCAATCCGGCCGTATCTCTCTTCAACTTTGATTTTCTGCCCAATTTCTCGGTATCTAACTTCTTCGACTTCTTTCTCAATCTCCTGACCAACTTCTCGATACTCCGGGACTTCTCCGTGATGTTCTACGTACTCATGGTCAATATCACGGCGTCCTCTGGCCAGTTCGTGGACTTGATGTTGATGTCCTTCATGTTCTTCGTGGTGAATCCGCCTACCGTACCCTCTTGGGTCAGAAGGATCATAAATTTCTTCGTAGATTTCCTCCGTATGTTCGTGTCTGTGGCCAATTTCTTGGCCGATTTCTCCGTGACTTGGAGGGACTTCATATTCTGAATTATCTCTGCGAACATGCTCAAGATCTTCCGGGGGATATTCATAATGAGTTCTTTCGCTTTTCCACTTGGTTGTTTGATGTTCATGGTATCTTGTTTCGGCGTGCTTGACAGGACTTAGCGGTTCAAGAGGTGGGAAGTCATAAATGGGAACTTTGTCGATTTTCTGACCAATCTCACCATGAGAATGTTCAATTTCCTGGCCAATCGAGAGGCTTGGATGTCTTGGAATATCTCTTCTTTCGCCTTCATAATTGATGGTAATATGCTCATGATACCGTAGGTTCTCTACCTTCTCAATTTCTTGGCCAATATCACTTGTGGGAGGTACTTCATAAATCGGAACAGTCCTTGGCAACGGTTCAATTTTCTGGCCAATCTCTCGGCTTTGTCTCCGCTCTTCCAATCTCTCCGGCTCTTCAATTCTTTGGCCAATCCCGTAATCTTCTGTCTCATCAAATTTTTGATGTTCTCCATCCCATTTGATTGTGGTGTGCTCGTGATATCTTAGTTCAGCAACTTCTACCGGGGTGATTGGTCGAATTGGAGGGAAATCGTAGTGTCTCTGATGTTCCTCATGTTCCGCATGCCTTTCAATTCGTTGGCCAACAGGGTAAGTTGGCACATCAATTCTTTGCCCCTCCCATTTTGCTGTTTCATGCTCATGATAATGCAGTCTATCTTCTGATATCTCCATTTTTTCAATACTTTGTCCGATTTCTGTCGGAGGAACTTCGTAAACCGGAATTTCCCTTGGCTCCTCAATTCTCTGGCCAATACCGCCATCATAGTACCTGGGAATTGGCTGATAGCCTCGTTGGCTATCATAAATTTCCCATTCAATATCACGATAACGATGGAGTACTTCGATTTTCTCGAGCTTTTGGCCAATGTCGTATTGAGATCCGGTTGGTGGGACTTCATAAATTGGAATCTCTCTTGGCTCTTCAATTCTCTGTCCAATTCCGCGATCCTGATATGTTGGAATTGGCAGATATCCTCGTTGATTTTCGTATTGAGACCATTCGAGTTCATGATGACGATGGACGACTTCGATTTTGTCGATTTTTTGGCCGATTTCTCTTGGCTCTTCGATTTTCTGGCCAATCCCATGATCTTCTCTGATTTTCTGGCCAATTTCGCTGTCTGGATACCTCGGGATAGGTCGATATCTCTTCTCACGTTCGATCCAAGTCCACTCGAATTCGCGTTGACGTTGAAGTTCTTCGACTTTCTCGATTTTTTGCCCAATCTCTCCTCCTTCTTCAATCTTCTGGCCAACTTCTCGCCATTCCCTCTCGACTGGAACGTCGTCATAAATCGGAATTTCTCTTGGCTCCTCAATCTTCTGGCCGATTCCGTAATCATCTCTTTGTTTTAGGTCGTAATCTCTCCGTTGGCCTTCCCATTTAATCGTCGTGTGCTCTGAATATCTTGTAGGGAGCTCTGGGGAAGGCGGTTTGATTTGAGGAAGCTCCTGTCGATGACTACGTTCAATTTCTTGACCAATCTCGGTGTGTCGGTGCTCAATTTCTTGGCCGGTTTCAGAGGGATATTTGGGGACAATTGGACGATGACCTTCATAGATAATTGTAGTGTGTTCATGGTAATGGATGGGCTCATCTTTGGGAACAAGGATTTCTTGTCCAATCTCTTCATGTTTGTGGCTAGTTTTCCCATGTTGATGGCCAACTTCTTGGCCAATCTCAATATGCCTATGGTCAATTTCTTGACCGATCTCGCCATGTCTTTCAAGCTCCCGGGCCAATTCGTGCTTTTGATGTTGATGTCCTTCATGCTCTCCATGATAAAGCGGCTCATGCTCAAGTCTTTCAATTTTCTGGCCAATATGCCCATGATAATCTACATCTTCAGTTCTTCTCTCGATTCTCTGGCCTATCTCCTCATAGACATGCTCCTCGTGTTCTATTCTTTGGCCGATGGGCGTTTCCGTATATCTGGGATCATGTTCTATAACAGGTTCATGTTCGATTTCTTGGCCAATCTTAATTTCCTCCAATCTCTCAACTTGTCGTTCAATTCTTTCCTCAATTTTTGAAGGGATCAAAATTTCTTGGCCGATACTGCTTGATCTTGGTGTTCGCGGCGCTGCAGTTGGTTTCGGCTCAAATTCAATTGTGTCATGCTCATGATAATGTTGATGTCCAATTCGTTGACCAATCTCCAGCTCAGATGTTCTTCTAACATCATCAATATTATCATAATGACTTGTCGAAGGGCGTTGATGGATATGCCAATCGATTGGAGAGGTGATCCACTCATCATCTCGCAGTAAAAGCCGGCCATGTTCAACATGGCTTATTGGCTTGACTTCAGGCAATCTTGTACTGATTTCTTGGCCAATATCGATACTCTTTCTTGGCTTTTCAACTGGCTTTTCAATCTCTTGTCCAATCTTTTCAAAGTACTCTATTCTCTGACCGATCGAATGCCTTGAAGGATGCCGTTTTCGCTCAGGTAGTTCACCACCAACTGGCTCAATTTCTTGGCCAATCTCTTTTTGCTGGATTTCTTGCTCAATCTTTTCAATTTCCTGGCCAATTGGAGTAGTTGGTACGTCTGGAATCGGCTCATAGATCGACTGTTCAAGTTCAACTTGAGGTTCAAGGATGTCCAACAAATAGACTGGTGTGTAGATTGGCGATCTTCGTTGACGATATTCAATATTCGCAGAGCCTCCAACTGGACTTAGGACATCACCAATTGAACGACGAGACTCTTTAACCTCGGCTCGCCCAATTTTTGCGCCTTGACCAACTTCAACTTCATGTTCAAGGTACTGCTCTAGATCTTCGCTTCCAGTTTTGATCTCTTGGCCAATGTCGGTGCTCACGGGCTCTGAGATTCTTTGGCCGATCTTTTCTCGATTCAAAATTGGCTGTCCAATCTCACCATATCGAATTTCTTCACCAAATTCAAGACGTTGATGCTCGATTTCCTGACCAATCTCAAGATGCGTATGTTCAATTTCTTGGCCAATTCCATAGTCATGCTCATGAGTATGTTCTCGCTCAAATTCATGTTTCTGATGTTGATGACCAACACGTTCTTCGTGTTCAAACTCAATACTTCGCTGTTCAATTTGTTGTCCAATCTCTTCCACTCTATGGCCGATTTCTTGACCGATATCTCCGTGTGGGCTTTCGTCGAAGTCTTCAGAGCTCCTTCTCTCAGATTCAAAGTCACGTTCTTCTTGATAATGAGTTTCACGTTCTTCATGATAATGAATCTGGTCGACCTCGCTGTAAGTTTCTTCGTGTTGTGAGATCTCTTCTCCAATATCACTCTGGCTTCCAACCCTCGCTCCATGGCCAATCTCTTGACCAATATCTCCAATCTTTTGCCCAACATGACTTTGTTCAATTTCTTGACCAACTCCAATCTCGTCATAACTCCATTGAATCGGTTTTTTCGTATGAAAAGGGATTGTGGCCATGTCTGTGGATCGATTCATTAGATGATATAACGAGGAAGTTCTCCGGTTGACAACTCCTGATTTACCGATCTCCTCTTCATCTTCTTCTTCAGGTGGTTCTTGAGTTAGTTCTCGAGTAATTCGACGTTTCGCTTTCTCCAAGGTCTCTTCAATTTCGATTTCATAGCGAGTTCGGCCGCTTTCAACGACGCTTCTCTCGTCCAGCTCCTCGTAATACCATTCTCTTGGATATCGGTCCAAGGTGATGATCAACGGGACAAACTCCAGTTCATGGTAGTAAAGATAATGGACATGGTAGTCGATTTGTTGGCCAATTTCTCCATGATGACTTTGGTCGATCTCTTGGCCAATGTCACCAATTTTTTGACCAATCTCATGGCCAATTTCTGCACGTTCGTGATGATGGCTTTCGTGCACAACACGCTCAATTTCTTGACCAATATCTCCGACTTTGTGGCCAATTTCCTGGCCAATTCCGTGATTATGCTCGTGAGTGTGTCCCCGCTCAAATTCATGTTGTTGATGTTGATGACCATAATGTTCGCTATGTTCAATCTCAATCTGAACTCTTTCGATCTCCTGACCAATTTCTCCTGTTTCTTGGCCAATTTGCTGGCCGATGTCGCTTGTTCTAGACCTTGTTTCTCTCCTGACTTGTTCAATATCATGGTAGTGGCTTGTCGATGGTCTTATATGGACGTATTCGTCGAATGGATGACTTCTCCATTCCTTATCTTTCAATAAAAGCCTTCCCGATTCAATCGAAGCTCCTTGTCCAATATCTGTGGATACCTCAATATGTTGTCCGATATTTTCATGCTCAATTTTCTGTCCAATCTGTTCTGAAGACTCAATTTCTTGGCCATTGTCATCAATTGATCCGTCATCTCCGATTTCTTGCCCAATTTCGCCAGTTCCAGAGGGCTCTCCAACAAACACCGGGGTTTTTACACTGGTCTCAGACTCTTCTTCAATGTCGTCTAGATATGAATAGTCAGTGTCTTCCTCCACAATCTGAGCCTTCTTTTTTCTGACCACCTTGCTTATCGTTTCCTCAACTTCCACATCAAATCTTCGTTTGCCGACCTCCGTAACTGTCGTGACATCGGGTTCTGGCGATGGGGCCTGTTGAACCTGCTCTTCTAATGTTGGCATTGGCGTGGTTCCTCCCGAGGAATACTGTAAAGTTCCGCTATCTTCATCCGAGCCATAGCTATCAGTGAACTTCAGTGAAATTGAGTCCGTTACCGAGGTTATTGAATCTTTTGAGACTTCTCGTCGATGATGAGAAGTCGAGTCATAGTGAGAATGACCCAGTTCTTCTTGATAATGAAGTGTATCTTGAGAAATGGAGCTGTCTGAATATTGTACTTGATCAGCTGGATGTCTGAGATCTTGGCCAATTTCTCCGATTTTCGTTGAGCGCGTGATCTCTTGGCCAATCTCATGCACTTCTTGACTATACTTGTCATCTCTATGGCCGATTTCCTGTCCTATCCCGCCTATTCTGTGACCTGAATGACCAATTTCTTGTCCAACATGGCCAATTTTCTCAATTTCTTGGCCAATTCCTATTTGGTCCAGTCCTTTTTCATGATGAATCGTTGCTCTCTGATAACCTCTTGAATCTCCAGATAAATAGTAATCCTGATACCTTGTTCTACTCTCTTCTAGCCCCTCTTTATACTTTCTTAGGCGATCTTCTTCAACTCTTCTTCGTTTTTCCCGTTCCTCGAATTCATCAAGATCATAATATTTCTTGAACAAATCCGGGTCTTTCTCGAACAATTCCTTCAAGTCCGCTGAGATCTGGGCATCCTGATCGCGATTCAAGACGGTCTCAAGACGATAGCTTCGAATATGCTCGTGGATATACCGAATATGGTCATCGTTGACCTCTCTTTTGTCGCGAAATCGGTCTCTGCGCTCGACAATCGCGTCCGCCGAAGCGCCATTTACAGCGTTGCCAAAGACGATCGTCTCATGCGACGTGACCGTCTGATCTGTCTCATCGTCGAAACTCTGCGGCTGCAAATGATCCGCGAAAGCGTCGCGATAGAAACGACGCGCCGGAACGACACTATCGCATATTTGAATCGTTGAATCAAACTCTGGCGCTGCGCCGTAGAGCCGATGAGCTAGCGCTTGGAAGTACTCATTCCAAGACTGACGATGGCCTGTGGTGTCGGTGGAAGAAGACGGTTTCTGAGAGGCGGCTTGCTCTTGAAGATGGGCTTCAATTAAGCGCTCTTGGTCGGTGGTCAAATCCATGGCTGAGGAGACTTTCAGTTCTTCCGAGGGCAAGTGAAGCTTTCCGGATTGGGCTAGCTGAAACAATTTAGGATGAAGAAAGAGTACACCGTGGGACCTGATCCAGTGGAAAAAAACGTACCATTTTGCATCCGGGAAGTATCAAAAATACGGCAAAATGCTTCCCTCTCCAAGTGAAAACACTTTGTTTTGAAAGGCGCCTTTTCCCTCACAAAAAGAGCGCTTTTAAAATCGGAGTTTTTTCAATTTTAGAGGGAAGGATTTTGCCACATTTTTGATACCTCCCGGATCCAAAATGATACGTTTCTTGCCATTGGATCAGATCCCCCACTGTAGACCATCTCCAAAAAATTTACCAGTCAGCAAAAAAAACTTATTTTAAAAATGACGTCATTACTTAGCAAGCCTAATATTTTTACTGTACCCAAATTTCAGTATTCAAATCCCGACACCTATTAATATCCCGACGCTACTTACCTTTTTCAACACCCCAACCTTCCGCACATTATAGCGGGCGTAGAGTAGGCGCTGGCGTTGCAACCGGTATATCAGCCAGTTCCGCTCTTCCTGAAAATGGCTTCCTAATTACTCATTATAACGCAAATCAGCACTCGGCAACCCACAGTCGTAAAACAAGGGAATGCAGGCTATCAGTGTCTCACCGGAAAGGCGGAACCTTTCTTTACGACAAGACAAACAAAAAATTACCAGTCAGGGAGTCGTGGGATGATCCTTATAAGTAATTAAATTTGGAAGATTTCAGGCGATAAGTTCTCAACCCCTCAGGCTAAATCAGAGAGTAAAAAGCGACGCCCAGATTTTTTTTTCTACAGCAATTTCAGTTTCGACTATAAATGAGAACTGAGATATTCAGCAATCTTTTCCGGCAAGAGAGCGCGCGAAATGAGGAGAGCTGACGGTGAAAAAAACGTTTGATTTCAAATCTCCCAATTTTGGGTTGAAAAGATTTCTTTCTCATAAAAAAGATGAGGTAATGCTGAAACTTTTCATATCAAACCTCTGAAAGAGAGAATGCGCGAATTGGGGCGAGTGGGCCGGGACAAAAATGACTTTTGGCTATGATCTTTGCTACTTTCGCGAAAAAAAAGCTTCAGCAGAGAACACGCTGAAACCTTTCATGCCAAAACTTGCTAACTTCGGACCAAAAAGATCGGTGGTTTCCGCAAAAGATAAACCATTGTGTCTACCCTTCAGAATTTGCTATAGAAAAAATGCCAAAATTTTGAAAAAACCAATTTTTTGACATTAATTTCTCTGCCACCATATCAAATAAGCTCAAACTGTAAAAAACATAATAGTAAAAAAACTTAAAATTCTAAAGAGGTAAACAGGCTGATATGACTTTCACCTATGACTGTCCGTATGACTTCTTATCTGCCACCTCTTGGTGGTCATGACGCATTTTTGAGTCATAAAAGTAATCAAAAAAACAGTTATTAAAATTTTTTATGAGAAGGAATTTCTTAACTAATCAATTGTCAATTTGCAAGTAAAAATTTTTTTAATTAAAAAAAATTAAGCAACTAAAGCAATAGCTATAATATTTTATGTTTTTTTAGATTTTCAGAGCTTGAAAAAATGGAAAAAAAGTTTTTTTCGGTTTTTAAAAATAAAAAATTAGTATTTATAGATATGTATTTCTTACTTGACTTTGCCAGAAAAAATAAAAAACCTTCAAAAAACTTTTTAAATCACTCACTGCGTCCCTTGCCAACTCCAGAAGCTGCTCCGTATCTTTGCAGTCTGCTTTTAGCGCTCTGATTCGGTCGTCCAACGATTTTACGACACTTGAAGCTTCCTAAAAATCAAATGTTTAATCTTCCAAAGATGGCATTATTTACCATTGTACTATCGCCAGCGGCTTCCACAAACTCCTGAAACTTTCGTTCATCCGGGTCGTCTATTGGTCGAGCCATTTTCGCTGAAATGAAATAGTAAATTTAACAGAACTGCGTAGCAAAAAACAAAGTAGACAAAAAATACACACATACATAGACATATGACAAAGGGTAAAAATATATTTTTTACAGTTCCGCGAGTTTTAAATAAAAAAATATGATAATGTAAAATACGGCAGTTGAGGATTCTAGCAACAAAATAAGTCCGATCAAGCCTTTCTGATAAAATTGTCAATGTGAAAAACAAGAAACTGACAAAGCTTACAAGAAAAATGTTCAAAAAGCAGGGAATGGTTCGTGAAAAAACATTTTTGATCATAACTTTTTGCAAATTCGCATGGAAAATCTTACAAAGGCGGTCCCAAGTGCGGCGCTAAGCTTTTCTTCAAATTTTCATGCTTTGAACAAAGACCCCATATCAAAAAAAGATACAAAATAAATGAATTTTTTTGAAATTTTTGCTGAAATTTTGAACGATATTTGCAGCCGAGAGAGAACGCAAAACGCGGAGAACCAGAGAGAAAATACGTTTTTCGCCAGATCTGTGCTCATTTTACATGGTATAAAACTTTTATTTTTATGCCAACTTTATGCTCAGCAATAGAAATTGATCATATCTTTATATTAGCAACTGTTCAGGCCAACATTCGCAAAAAATACCGCATCTTTACCAAAGTTAAACTTAAAAATCTTAATCGCTACCGTAGAGCGCGAGCTATAAGCAAAAACTTCAAAATTTCCCCTAAAAAATCCCAAAAATCCGTTGCTCAAAAGCAACGTGAAATTCGTAAAGTCGCCTTAAGGCACTTAAACACCGCTTGTACAGCAATTATCATAGCGGCGAGAAAAAGTTTTTGCGAAGGGTTTCTGCTGGAAACGGCGGCCTAATCAGTGCAAACTTCCCCACACTGATAAGCGCGAGAGAGAGCGAGAGGGATCTGGAGGGCAGCCCTCCTCGGTTTCTCCCATTCTCTTTCTTCGGTTATCAGTGGATTAAACAAGGAATTTGATGAGTCAAAACGGGTCGTCGACCGCCGGAATAGGCGTAGGACGGCGGGTTTCGGCGGATTAGTGTGTGTTTTGGGGGATGTTTTGTATCAAGAAAAAGGCAAAATTTGGGGGTGACGGCTTAGAAGGTGCTCTATAAGTTGTTAAATTTATAGGAGGAGTGGTCGAAAGTGTGCTGCAATTTTTGCAATTTCCGTGTGGATTGGGCTTCGTGCATTTTTCCTTGATTTAAGTGTACAGGAAGGACCTGATCCAGTGGCAAAAAATGTACCATTTTGCATCCAGGAAGTGTCAAAAATGTAGCAAAATGCTTCCCTCTCCAAGTGAAAAAACTCCGATTTCAAAAGCGCGCCCGCTCTTTTTGTGAGGAAGGCCTTCAAACCGAAGTTTTTTCGCTTGGAGAGGGAAGCATTTTGCCACCTTTTTGATACTTCCCGGATGCAAAATGGTACGTTTTTTGCCACTGGATCAGGTCTGTTACTGTATTTCAAGTGTTAATAAACAAATCTCACTCCTCAAACCAGAATATACCTCGATAAAAATGTGACATAACAACTACCAACACTTCTGACGTGACTAATTACTTTAACCAATCAAAATCTCATAATTCGCCCGTAAAATGTCATAAAAATCAAATTCCGTCGTCAAGATCAAATGATACCAGAAGCAGATTGTAAATTTGCGTCTAGGAAAATTTAGAAACCCCCCCCCCCATTAAAATCGTAAACCGGACTCTTGAATTAATCAGCAGTGCAAAACGATAAGCAAACATGTCATCCCTCCGCACCCACAACCCCCAAGGAGGTTTGGCTATCACTCCGAGACGAGGAGAATTTTAGGGTAAGCGGGGAAAGTGCCCTACAAACTTAAATGCTCAAAGTGTGACACTAAAATAATAACGGAACTGGGAAAAGAAAGAAACTTGGCTAAAAATTTTGATTGCTTTCTTATGCGAAGTTTGCGCTGTTAAAAGAAAATTTTTTGCTGCCTAAGGAAGCCTTTCTAATGTGTTGGAAGCAACCCTCTTATGCCAATCCCTTAATGCATTATCGCTTGTGCAACACAAATCACGATACATACAAAAGTAGGCTACCAGAAAAGAGTCAATTTTTGATAAAAAATTAATTAAGAATTGTTATTTCGATGTCAGCACTTCAAATTAGGCTGCAAATCATTTTGTGGCAATTTTGACGGCGGTTGAATCCATCAAAATAAAAGCATTTGCCATCAACTTCTACATTTTTCCCGGAAAAATACAGGGTGTCCAGAGAAATTTCACGGAAATTTTTTGTCGATTTCAAGGCGCTCAGCCAAGATATCCAGAAAATTCTTTCTGCAGTAGAAAGAAGAATACGGGTGGTTTTTGGCATAAAAAACTTTTTCTCTCCCCCAACGCCGAAAGCTGTTTATTCGGCGGAGACTTTCGACCGCTTTTTTGGTCATCACACCAATCTTAAACGCTGTACAGGGTGGGCCACTAAAACCTTCCGTTCTCTTTTTTTAGATTTCTCCGCGGAGACTCCGCCGATTTTCATGAAATTTAGATTTTTCTGGAGCTGAGATTCGCCATTTTCAAACGATTGAATTTCAGGAAAAAATATTCTGAATTGACTTTACTATGCCTTCCCAAAGTTTTTGAAAATTATTTTCGAGCCGAAACCGCTAAAACTTAGAAAATTTTTTGGAATGATTTGGAAAACTTGGTCAATTTTTCGGGTTTTATGGTGAAATCTTCTGCGCTTTACCTCAATTAGTGTTAAAATATTGTCGTAAAAACTAATTTAGTTAACAATTTGGTTATTAACGTTTCTATCTGAGTTCGACATGTCCACCTCCTCTTGCAGCACAAACTTGCGGGGGCTTTGAAAGTTAAAAAAGGCTCCAATTGCATATCATGAACATGGTTTAACTTCAATCAAGCCTGTCTCCAACCCTCCATGAGCCAATCCCTGGCTTGTAGCCTAAATGTGGAATTTTTCAATCTTGTTAAAAAAAAATTTTTTTTTTCAGCGTTCATACCCTAACGGTAATACAGACAACACTCTTTTTGCTTTTAACTTGCATTAAACAAGTTTAGAGAAAGCGTAAGGAACTTTTTACTCCACGATTTTACCAAAAAAACAGCCAGAAATTTTCCAAGTCCGAGAAAGGCAATTGAAAATCATTCCAAAAATTTTCTAAGTTTTAGCGGTTTCGGCTCGAAAATAATTTTCAAAAACTTTGGGAAGGCATAGTAACGTCAATTCAGAATATTTCTTCCTGAAATTCAATCGGTTGAAAATGGTGCCTCTCAGCTCCAGAAAAATCTAAATTTCATGAAAATCGGCGGAGTCTCCGCGGAGAAATCTAAAAAAAGAGGACGGAAGGTTTTAGTGGCCCACCCTGTATTATGATGCTGAAGCTACCGGAAGATCTTCAAATTTTGCACAAGGGATCAGAAAAGACGGCGACGGTTTTAAATTGAGGATTCAGCGGCTTCACGAAAAGATGGGGAATTTCTGTGGACACACTGTAAAATTTCTACAAAACAAATCAACTAAACGCCCTTTGGGAAGTCGGTATGGGTCTGGCTAGACCAATTCCTTGCCCTATGTTTTACGTGAAACCCTCTTGTACCTCTTCCAATATCATTTACACCCTCTAATCTCCGCAATCATTCCCAGATTCCAAAAGCGCAACATGTTTGCCCGCCCGTAAGCCTCAAAATTTCTTGACTTCGAAAATTTACGATCGCCCAGCACCGGCAAACAAAAACTTCCCTGCAAGGAATGCGTGCGGAGATGATAAACAACGCCGTCTTGTCGCTGAGGGGTTGCATTATCAGTTGGAAATTATATTTTGCATAAGGAACGGAAGTCCTGATAACTCGTGTCCCACAAAGGGCATTGGAACAGATTCCATTTGATAATCGGTTAAACAGCAGAGGCTTTTTACGAGTCATGACGAATGAGAATGTTATGCGAGTTGAGGGAGAATGCGGAAGAAGTGGGCAAAGTTTTGTGGAAAAAAGTTGTTCTACATTCAACGAAATTCTGGGCTGGTGATATTCTTGGGACAATGTAAATTGCTATTCGAAAATTTTGGGGTAATGGTAGTCGAACTGGGGATGTATCCGAAGTGCGACGCTTACAACGGAAGTCACATTTTTTGCAGATCAGTCATTACTAGTGATCTAGTGGCCCGAGGCAATGCAAAAAGAATCTGGCCTACAAAAGTGTTTACGGGCCCTTTGTTTACAGATTTTGAAGAAACTTGGCACAATTTCAGAATAAGTTCTTCCAATACCTATTACATAACTCCTAGCTCGCACTTTGCAGAAACAACCGAGAGTTTTAGGTCGAAAGTTGAAAAAATCTGATACTTTCTTCCTAATTTTAAGATGAAAAGCGTCATGCCTTTTTAAGATAGAGGGTAATTTCTTCACAAAAAAAATCAGTTTCCTCGGCACCAAGCTGGCAGAGATATGGACAAAAAAAACTTTTTTCTCTATGGTCGCTCTACACGTTTTATGTACTCTCTCGGCCACAAAGATCGCTGAATATCTCGGCTGCCACTAAAAAGTGTAAGCTAAAATTTTGACAAAATAATATGTTACCTATGCTCAACGTCTATGTAGAATTCAAAAAAAATATGAGCTCCTTACTTACAGAAATTCTCTTGCAAGTTTGCAATCAAATTATCTCCAAATTACAACGAAAATGTCACGTAAACAGTAAGAAACAACATGAACTCTATTTATTCACTTCACAATCATCATTGCCATCAAAATGAAGTTACTCTTCGACTATTCTTACACGTACTCCAAGAAGCTGATCTTGTCGTTAACAAAGTCCAAGCAAATCCCAATCAAATCCAAAAACGCCGTTCCCAACACCCAGTCATCCTGATTCTCAGTAGACGGACGAATTCTCAAAATGCACTCGGTCTCGTTGTTGTAGGCATTATGAGCAATGTAAATATCGGAAGTAACCGAGACTTTCTCTCCGCCAATCTTGAAGTCCAGCGTTGGCCCATCATCATAATACGCACAGTCGACCACGTACAAATCCCCAACTTTTTTGGCCTCCAAATTGCCTAGAATGTCTGAGAAAACGGCGGACGGAAGCACAATGTTTGGGTTTGTGTTGGCCAAAATGGCGTTGAATGGAATGTTGATGGTAGTTTCGGCGAAGGAAAAAGAGTCAACTTCAAACTTCCATAACGGAGTTTGAGGCTTCGCTTCAACGGTTGAAATTACTTTCGAACGAGCGGGAAGCTTGCCGTTGAAGGAGCGATAGTGAACGCAGATGGAAACGTTGCTGAAATGAGGTCCCTATTACAAAACAAAATTAATATTTTTGCTTTGTGCAAGCGTTGTCAAAGTAGGAGGAGGTAGTGAAACTTGGGGCAAAATAACTGCAAGATTTCTCAAATTGCGAATCTAGGATTTTTTCTTAATTTTACAGCAAATTGGTACTATGTCAGAGATCGTTTTCTTTTCAATATTTTAGCTTGCGTTTTTGAAAGGTCAACCAAAGAATTCGACGAAATTTGTCCACGAATGAGTACATGAACCTTGGTTGTTTCTACAAAGCGCATTCAGACCAACGCTTGCTAGGAAATATGCGATCTTTGGTGACGTCTTTGCCGCCAAGTTTTGATATAGAAAGTCAAAAAAGGTTGAGCAATGGGTGACCAATTCTTCGGTTATCTACGAGGCCAAACTCCCCAGTTCTTTACTATTTTTTCACACTAGCATTTGAAATTTGAAAGCGACTCTTAAATACCGGCAAAGCTTACCTTGGCTGATTATAGCATCTGGCCATGTTACAGAGTATCTTCTTTTCATTTTTGAAAACAATATCGCCATTGTAGAGCGGGTTGTTGGCCTGAGTATTCCTCGCCAACCCCACAACTCCTCCGACGAGCAGGTTGTTGTTGGTCATCGTGGGATCCCTCTGTTTGGAGACTCGTTTGGCCACTCCAAAGCTTCTCACTTTTTTGTCGGATCCCTGAAACACAAAGCCTCAATTTTTTTATATTTTTTGACGACCATTCTCCGCCAATTTACCGTCGCATCTTGTCCCACATATCCTTGAACAACACTTCTGAACTCGTTGAGGTCAGTTTCATAAGTTTCTTCAAAGCTTCTGTCCAGCCTTTTGAAGGTGGTCGATTTCTCTGGGACGAATTTCAAATAAGCTGGACGGGGTTTGATATTCGCACACTTGTCCTCAATAACGTAGGTGGAAGTCTTGGTGATATCGAGCTGAAGTTTGTAGCCACGGTCGTACGAGAATGGGAGGTATTCCCACCAACTTCCAACGTTGAATCTGGGGAGAGGTTGAGCTGAAATAGAGTCGTAAGAAGCGAACTTTTTAGAATTTGGGTCTTTGTTAATCTTGATGACAACCAAATTTCGGTATAACAAACTTTTTTAGGGGCCAAAAAATTGAGTTGTTATAGTGGATGTTTGTTGTATTGGAGTTCATTTTGCCATAGTGTGGGCAAAATGCTCTTGAGACCGTTTAAAGATCTGTTTAAAAATTTTCGGTATGGACAGGTTTTATTGTACATATGTAGGTTATTAAGTATAATATTCACCTTTTTGCAAAATCTGCTGACAACCAAAAAACGGCAAAAAAATGAAACAATTTTTTCAGACTTCGGTCAAAAAATCTCAATGTTTTATGGCAAGCGCAAGCTAAGAATCTCACAAAAGTCATCAAAAATTTCCTGGATCAACTGTCCTTATCCTACCTTCAACTCCACATCCGACACAAGCCACGAAAATTGCAGCAATTCTCAGCAATGTCATCATCTTTCGGGGATTGACAAAGAAAGACTTGATTGCAGGTCTCGCCTTAATTTTAAGCAATTTCCTTACCAAAGATAAACTTATTAATATTCTCTAATCTGTATTTTGATTACCATATTGTAGTTTAGAAGGAGATGGAACATCAGAAAAATTATGATAAGAATATCCTTGAAATTCTTAAATAAGCGTTGCACTTTTCTTTCGATTTACAGTGGGGGACCTGATCCAGTGGCAAAAAAAGTATTATACCATTTTGCATCCGGGAAGGTCAAAAATGTGGCAAAATGCTTCCCTCTCCAAGTGAAAAAACTCCGATTTCAAAAGCGCTCTTTTTGTGAGGGAAAGGGCGCGCCCTTCAAAAAGGTTTTTCACTTGGAGAGGGAAGCATTTTGCCACATTTTTGATACTTCTCGGATGCAAAATGATCCGTTTTTGCGACTGGATCGGGTCCGTCACGGTTCAATTATTCTCGAGAAAGGAAGCGTATTTATTGCTGCAAATATTGCAGAAGAAAAAAAAATAAAATTTACAAAACGTCCCAGCCCGAGCAATCCGAGTAATGTCGCCCTTGATTCAGCCGATTTAACCGTTCAATATCCTCACTAGAGATGGGGACGTTGACGGATTGGATGTTGGCTGCGATTCTCTTGGGATTTGAAGACTTTGGGACCACTCCAATTCCTTGTTTGATCGGGAAAACCAACATTAATTGCTGAAAATGCATATTACCCATGACAAAATTATTGACTTTTGGGAAATTATAAAAATTTTCGTACTTTAGCAATATAAAAAAGGCAAAATATTCTTTCAAAATGCTCTATGTGCTATATCACTTCTTTTTCCATCAAAAATTCTCAAGATTTCCATTATTTTTCATCTCAAAAATCCATATTGTTGCACTTGGTGATCAATTTTTAGATTCCGTATTTTAGGGCAGAAAAGCCAAGTATCCTCTCAGAGTCCCTTATCTTCTCTGTTTTTTCCATAATCTACCATAAAATCACAAAATTCGTATAAGTTTTTGTCTCAAAAACACGTCTATATAAAGCGGGAGATAAAAGATTTTCTGAAAAATTTTTGAAATTTTTCTGTTTTTACTTTTTTTTTTAAAAAAAAGTAAATTTTGAAAAATTTCCGGAAATTTTCGATTTCGGAAAGTCAAAAAACATTCTTACTCCGAACGACAAATTTTTGGAAAGTTGGATCAAAAATGGCTCGCCAAAAGGTCGATCCGGAAAGTTGAAACAAAAATGGCTCGCCCATTTTGGCTGGTGAGTAGGATGCCGTTTTTACTCACATGCACGCCAATTTATTTTCTTCAAAACTATTTTTGCGAGCTGCGCCCGGGAATTCCAGATGTGTCAAATTTCTCTCTCCCGGAAGAAACGTTTTGATTTTTTTGAAGTTGTGAATCTATTTTCTCCACGAAGATGGGCTGAAAAGTGATCAAGTAAGTTAGCATTAGCAAGAGGAGATGTACTTTTTTCATTTGACACCAAAAATTTTCCTTTTATTTCAGAGAAAGGTACAAATTTTTTCCAATTCGTAAAACTTCATGACCATGGATAATGTAAGTGCGCTTACCGCGTTTTTTGTTCCGTTTTGGAGTTAACAGTTCTAGGCTGGCGAGTTCTAGAGGACACCTCACTTTAGTTTTGTTATATACTCTATCTATCAAACGCCACCAATTTTGATTTCTAGGTGTCATGTACAATATCGAAATCCGCTCAGATCCGCCGGATTTTTGCCACGAAGGCGTTCTAAACTGGGGTAATAACGTAGTAAGGCTCAAATAACGTTGTTACAATAACTTGAAGATAGTTTACTTTCGTATAACATACTTTTTGGAAAGTTAGTATAGTATTTGAAACTTTTACGTCGTTATTCCTCAAAATTTATGGGGTTTCATACATGGGGAATATACATGAGAGTAGGGTCTCCTCTAAACGTTTCCCGACTTAGAATCTTGACGTCGTAGCAAAAAACGAGATAATCTCACTTACATTATCCATGGTCATGAAGCTTTACGAATTGGAAAAATTTTGTACCTTTCTCTGAAATAAAAGGGAAAATTTTGGTGTCAAATGAAAAACGTACATCTCCTCTTGCTAATTCTAACTTACTTGATCACTTTTTAGCCCATCTTCGTGGAGAACATAGCTTCAGAACATCGCACAAACATAAAAATAATTTTTTCGGAAGAGAAAAACTTGACACATCAGGGAAAGACTTGGCGTCAACCTTGCAACCTGCAGTGCGGGGCCAAAAAGAGGATGAAAGTAAAAACAAGCTCTGACTTTCCACGACTCCGAGCGGGGAGTAAGATCCGATCCTACTCCCGACCTTCAAGTCGGAAAGCCAGAAACAAAATTGACTTTTTTTTGCATTTTCCGGAAAGTAAACTGAAAATTTACTTTTTTTAAAAAAAAAAAGTAAAAACAGAAAAATTTCAAAAATTTTTCAGAAAATCTTTTATCTCCCGCTTTATATTATACAGGGTGCGGCAATTTTTCGGCCGGATTTTAATTGGCCATAACTTTTTTAGTTTTTGGGCAAATGTTAAAATTCTTTTTTTCCCTGAATCCATAGACAACCCCATTTTGTTTAATACCAAATATGTTATACCCGTTCATTAGACTACAGTAAAAATTCGAGACAAAGAAAAAACTCTAATTTTCATAGCTGACAATGGAATTACCCCTAGTGCGACTCTCAGATTTTCTTTAAATTTTGCACATGGGCCGGACATAGGCCACACATCAATTCCTGAAAGTTTCAGCCCGCACCTTTCAGGGGCGACCAAGATATTCAACGATTCTTTGCGGTCAGGAGGGCACATGAGTGGTCACACAGAAAAACTTTTTGGCTATATCTTCGCTAGTTTTGTGCGGAGAGAGCTGATTTTTTGTGGAAACGGTATTCTCCATGGCATGAACAGGCATGAAATTTTTTACGACAAAATTCGTAAAAAAAATCATTTTTTCTGGCGATTTTCACACACGCCGAAAAAGCAGAGAAAACGACCGAAATGCCAATAACTATGAACTAGGTCCCTGTATGTATAACATATTTGGCATTGAACAAAATGGGGTTGTCTGAGAATTCAGGGAAAAAAAGAATTTTAACATTCGGATAAAAACTAAAAAAGTTATAGCCAATTCAAATCCGGCCGAAAAATTGCCGCACCCTGTACTTGCCCATCAACTATTTCGACTTTAAATTTTTCGTATTTTTGAATTAAAACACGATAAAAAGTATTTTCAAATCTCATCGTCTCTCATTTTCTTACCAATCGTACACTAAAACCTCTCCATGAACACCTTCTCACCTCAAATCCGATATTATACTTGCTCATCAACTCTTTGACGGTCGGATCTCCTACCAGGCCTCTCGAATGGAATGCCAAAGGTGTATGTGCTTGGAAAAGGATCCCATTCTTTTTGCAATATTCGACCAAGTCGGGTCTGGTGAGATGTGGATGGAATTCGCATTGATTTACGACGGGTTTGGAGTGGCCATCCTGAACGAGTTGATCGATGTGGGAGGCCTCAAAATTGGAGACGCCAACGGACCGGATCTTGCCAGCGGCTAAAACACAACTTATTCTTTAATTTTTTGATTTTTTTGGGAAAACTGCCTAAGGGAAAATAGCGAAATTTGGTCTTTTTTAAGGTAAAATGGTGATTTTTTGATGACTTTCTTTCATTTCTTTGTTTCTACATGTAAAAACAGTCGAATCTGTATGAAACAATGAAATTAATATAGTTTTAGCCCCTTACAAGACATTTAAAGTAAAAATAAAACTTGCATTGCAGTGCTTCCAAGGCTCCGAAGGCTTCACTCCGATCCTTTCGATTGGCCGATCTTTTGTCAGAAACTCCCCAATTCTTGGGATAATGGATCAAAACCAGGTCCAAGTAGCTGGAAATTTAATAAAAACAATTTTTGGGGAAAAAAAATTAAAAGTAAAGGCAAAAAATAAAAAATTGACATCTAATGTCTACTACAATATAAAACATTGACCACTCTGACCGTATTTTACAATATTATGAACTCTAACAGCTGTCAAGCTCATAAAAATCCCATTAAAATAATTCTTACTCTGTTCCAAGTTTGTGCAACGAATCCTCGACCATATCAGTAATGCCTCCGGCAACGTTTGATGAATTCGAAATATTGGCTTTGGTCTCAATGAAAATGTCTTCTCGACGGAGTCCGTGCTTCGGCAAGACCGTCTGAAACAATATTCATTTATTTTGGATACTGTAATTTTCACATAAAATATGTCATCATGACGGATTTTTTGGAAATTTAATGTAAAAATCGACAAAAAAGAGAACCCGTATTTTACAAATAAACAGTAATCAAAAAGTACCTTGAGGGCATCGCCCAGCTGTCGCTCATTGCGATAGTACTTGGCGGTGTCAAACAGCCGATACCCTGAGGCAAACGCCGCATCCAAAGCGGTAACACATTCGGAACTCGACTCCAACTGCCATGTTCCCAGTCCAAACAATGGGATTTGATGGCCGTCAAGCAGCTTGAAGGATCCCCCGAGCACCTTGGAAAATGGCATCTAAAATTATATTGTTTTAGACAACAGCTGCTATAAATTTATAAATTTATATAATTGGAAAACACAGGAGGAAAATCAAATTAGTCTCAACTTATCAAACAGCTTTATTCAATGTTTCAAAAAGGTTTTTGTTTCCAACTATTTACTTTCCAAAGTATTTTATGATAAACAAGTTTGGCGAGCTGCGCCCGAGACTCAACGGATCCTGTCGGCTTGAGGTTTTTACTACGTAAATTTCTTATTACTTCAAATTAAAGAGGAGAAATTTTTCTTTCAACTATACTAAAAAGTACGGTAAAAGATTTCTTTATCATAGAGATCAGAAGTTTTTACTGCAGTGCACTTTCTTTGTTGTTTTTTTGGCATAACGTAGCGATGTGTGCATTTTGATGAACCAAAAATGGTGTTTTATCAACGATCAATAACTCCGATAAGAACACTGGGCTTAAACCGGGCGCGCAATTTGGCGAATGAATTATCTTATAAAAAATCGCATTTGATTCTATGAAGATTGGTCGGAAATGCTGTTGAAATCGAAGATTGTAAGTGATTTGCTGATGATTTTTTGATTCTATGATAAGAAGGAGGATTTTTAAGGTTTTTTAAAAGAGGGTTTAATGATTGGCTTCCAAAACCATCAAATCTTACTGTTTTTGCGATATTATCCATGTCAAGAAAGAGTAAAATTTGAAAACACAACTGTCCACCGAAATTTTGATAAACCCTTCTACAAATCGTCTTTGTTTCGTGCCCTAAGCTGTTTTACTAATTATCTCCGCGTTCCCCTATCTAATTCTTTCATTTCTTCCGATGCACCACTCTGACCACGGGCGCAGCTCGCGGCATATTCTTATTTTCTTGCGAAAAAGATGTTGCGAAAATAAACTAGAACTTTTCTGGCCGTTCGGACAAAGGGAGAAGAAAGGAGAGGTTGTGCTCGAAGAACTCGTGGACACAAAGTAGACGATAGGGGATTCGTTCCTGTGCCAGTTGCTATGCCAGGATTCTGCAGAGTCTGAGTCTTTATAACCCCGCGAATTCTGTGAAGTTGATGTTAAAAGCTGTGAGTTTCTTCTCTTTCTTGTTTGTTCTGATGTTTAGGGCGAGCGAGGCTCTTTTTATATGTTTCAAAGTCGGGCTGACGTTGGATTTCTGTTTTTATCTCGGAAGTACGGGGCAATTATATTCACCATGACAGCTTCAAACCGACTGGGCTCTCTCATGCTTTAGAGAAATGCAACTATCGTAAAATGGTTTTTAAGACCAAGCTGATATGTTGAAGCTGCTTCTGACTAAGTTTCAAATTCGTACTACAAAAACATCTCAAGATACGAGCGATTTTCGAACTGCCATACCTAAATTAAGGTCGAGATCGATTTTTTGCCATTTTTCCGTCCGAATTCTTAACACAGCTTGTAGTTTATACATTGCAAACTCCGATGTTTGAATTTTAAAGTGGAATTGGTTGATTCGTCGCGTTTTTATCGGAATTTTAAGACGTCTTTGTTCTTTGTTCCTGTTTAAATTTAATTTTTGGGGTTTCTAATGGTGGTTTGTGGTTTACAGCTCTTCTAAATTAGGTTCTGTCTGCTTGTAGCGCACTATGGCGTTCCGGGCTGTTAATTCTTCCTTTAATGGAGGTTTTAATTTAATTTGTCTCATGGATAATAAGTACGTTGTTAGCTTCAAAAAAAGGTCGGAACCTAAGAACTTTTGATGTGAAATTCTCGTGTAATATATAATTTTGTCTGTCTAGACTTCTCAACGTTTTTTATTTTGTCTGAATGGAGGTTTTCAAATTTTCTCTTCCAAACATCATGGATAATATAAAACGTTGCGGAATTCGATAAAAGATGACGTCCTGAAGTCTGAACTTTGAGTCTCATGATCATATTATCGGCTCCGTGTGAAGATGCTTCAAGTTTTGTGGTTCTTTGCAGGGTCTTCGCTTTCGTCTCCCTTCTTATCGGCGCCCGGTCCAGCAATCGCGCTGCTTTTCCTCCCAATCAGACGACTTTCCGGGCAACCAAGCCCCGCACAACCGTTTTATGGGCTTTCAGCTGGATCAGAGCGGCGAGAAAATCCAGAAACAGGATTTCGAGTGGCCAATTCTTGTATGTTTTTTTGATCAAAGTTTTGTCGCTTTAGGAAATTATTTCGAGAATTTTGCGGTAAAAGGTTCTTAAAAGCCCTTAGGCTCAAAATTGAGAGTGAATAAAATTTTTCGAAGGAAGTTGAGAGACCTTTTTATATTATACTGGACATCTGATGGATAATTTTCAGCACGGTGGATATAAACCGCAACATGTCCTGGTACTCTCGAAAATCACTCGATGGGAGGTTATAAAGGATAAGAGGATAGGAAAAGATCCATCAGATGCCCACTTGATCGCCAAACATAAGCAACAAGAGTGGTTTGTGGAAAAGATTGTGGAGAAGTTAAAGTAAGTTGTTTTTTGTTGTGTTTTGCGTTTTTAGATGTGTTTTGTGACAGCGAAGATGATTAGAGAGCTTTTAAAAGGTAGAAATGGAATTATTCCGAGGAAAACGGATATTTTTTAATTTTGTTACCTAAAATCTTGATGATACTTTAAATTTCGGCGAAAGTTCGATGTAGTGTCATTTTTTATGACTGGAAATGACTTATTGCGTCGTTTACTATGATTTGATAAGGAATTCCACACAGAGCTTTTTCAAAATCAGCTGATATATTCAATTTTCCCACCTGGACCAAGATGAATATAAATTTTTCTTCCAGAAGCCACAAAATCAATGTCACAGTAACGAAACCGGGTCATTACACTGTCGAGAAGCTGAAGAATGTAGACCTGGTGATCTCCGCCGGTGGTGATGGAACATTCCTAACAGCAGCCAGCAGAATTCGAAATAATATCCCGGTTATTGGGATAAATACGGATCCTGTCGGGTCAGAAGGTCATTTATGTCTCACGGGAAAAGAGAAGAGAGATGTTGGAGAAGTAATTGAACAGTTCTTGGCCGGCCATTTCACTTTCTTTTATCGACACAGGATAAGAGTCACCTTGTTGAAGTGAGTTTTGATGTTGAATTTAAATATTTTTTGGTTTAGTTGGGAAGCTGAAGCATGATTAGTCTATTTAGAGGGGTATTAGGAAAAATAAAGCAAAAAATTATATTACACATGGTAAATTGATGAATTTTTTTTATTGTAGTAGACCCAACGTATATATTTTTAATCACGTTGGTTATTATGAGGTTGTAATTTACCCATATTTACTATTTTTTGTTAGAAATTAGGACATTTTTATATTGTAGTAGACAAAAATTTTGACTTAGGCGTCTATAATTGATTTTTATGTGAGTTATAAGCTCTAATCTCTCCTGAAATTGCAGACCGAGCATTGTTGGAAAGGTCCGCCGCAACGACAGCACCGAAGAACACAATGACAAAGCCCAATTCCATTCCGACGACGAAGAAAATCATCACAATAACATTCCCCTGCCCCTCCTCGCCCTAAACGAAGTATTTGTGGGCGAATCCCACGCCGCCAGAGTCAGTTATTTGGAGATCCAGATCGACGACGGCCCGGTTTATAAGCAGAAAAATAGCGGAGTTATTGTTTGCACGGGGACCGGCTCGACTTCTTGGAATTATAACATAAATCGGAGCACCGAAAGAAGTGTGGCAGAGCTCATAACATTCATGCAGGAACAGGGATACGAAGTGAAACCGCCGCTGGATCAGAATGCGGTGAAGAGTCTGTGCCAGCGATACAATGAGAGACTGGTCTTTGCACCGGATGAAGAACGTAAGGAAAGGGATGGAAATGGGGTTTGAAGGGGTCTAGGAAAGATGGGAGATGAAACAAGGGTTTGTTATGGGAGAAGAGAGGTAGTAGTGGATGTTTTTTAAGAAAATTTTGACTTATTTTGGTTTTTTGAGCTTCTTGGACCTTATTTTAGGTAATAAAATGGAGGAAGATTGACTTTTAGTTTTTTGCGGGTATCAATAAGTGTTTTTGTGAATCTCAATGGCTTATTAAAAGTGTAGAAGGTTATACAGACCTGCATTCTTGGAGAAATTCGATAAAATTTTGTTTGTTAGGCCTGTGACCTTATTTTAGGTATAAATTTGAAATTTTTTGATTTTTTCGAATTTAAAAGCTTGAAAAAAATTATGAGGCTTGATGACTCCTTATGGAATCAATATTTTTGCCGTAGAAATTTTATTTTGATAAAAAAAATCGAGAAATTTTCGATTTTCGGACCTTTGAAAATCCGTAACAGTAATTCGATTGCTTGCAGGGATGGAATACAGTATCCGCGACCCGGTCTTCAACCGGACCTTTGCCCAAATCCCGGACCGAGGATCGGCGACCAAAATTAAAATCAAATCCAAGTGTTCGCACGCCCATTTGACGTTGGACGGATCAACTTCGATCCCATTCAATCATGGCGCCGAAGTCTTGATCGAACTCTACCGAGAAGACGCCCTCAGGACGGCTCTTTTGACCGCACCGGCCGAGAAATCGTCATAGACATATCCAACGTTAGATTTTTTTGAAAATCTTCCTCCAATTTTCGGGTAAAAAATCCCAATTTTAGCTAAAAAAGATATGCCAAAAGCCATCCTCTTGCATTCACTTCACAGTGTATATTGTATTTATATTAAATTTCTACCAAAAACATCTAATTAATTCGCATTTATTCTCAAAAATTCCTCATGAGTAATATACAAAAATAAAAAATAAGTACGTTATGAGCATAGACGTCTGTTCTACGGGGTGCCTAAGGGTCTTCAAGGTGGTAAGAGAGCGGTCAGCGGGGAATTTCAATACTTAAGCCAAAGAAAATATCTCTTTTTTTGAAAATCACAGAACTTTGTATTAGATAGAATTATATAAGTGAAAATGGTGGTTTAGCGTCGAAGAATGTTTGTGGGGGAGTTCTATAATTTATCGTTTGTCGATAAAGTCAATGTTTAGCTTGAAGAAAACATAGGGATAGTAGTCGTGGACGCCCAGCGAGACTAGGGTTGGGGCGTCGTCAAAGGTCTGAAAATGGGATTTTTAGATAAGTTCGGGCAAAATTTCAATTTTTACATGCATTAATGGCTCAATTATGACCCGAAAACCTATTATAACACCCTTCATCTTGACAAAAATAATTTTTATTCTAAACCTACCTAAAAAAAAATTGTCAAAAATCTATTTAAATATTGCTAAATTAGATTGATTCTGCATTGACAAGCCCTAATAACACATCTCATCCCTTCTATTTTATTAAAAAATGCTAAAAATTATATTTTAGGTAACAAAATCTAATTTTTCAGCAAGAATTTTGATTTTTCCCGCACTAAACCCTGGCCAATTGCCATGATCTACTTTCTATCACCCTTATACCACTAATCATCCACTCTATCCCAACAAATTATCCACTTACATCAATAGGACCAGCCGCCGACCCATCCAAATGTTGATACAATTTGTTCAACTCTGATCGCAACTTCTTTTGCGTTCCCTTTTGCGGTTCCATTACGGCGGCTTGGAAATTGACCGGAAGCCCAAATCGAAGGACGGATTCGACAAACACCCTTAGGGCTTTGACATGAATATAAGCCGAGAAAATTTCACCAAAATTGATCTTGAGCCAGCGAACCAATGGTGCATACTGACGTTGTTTCTCTTGGACCAACTTGTCTCGATCCATCTTACTGGCCTTTAAGGTTTGCTCGTCATATACGAAGTCGCGAACAATGAATCTAGAAAAAAATTGGGATACTTCTTCAAGCATGTCTAGTATAATATAAAAATCTGCCAAAACTAACTTCTTCTCTCGACATTTTCCCTTGTACTCATCGATAATCTTCTTGAAGAGCGTGACAGTGTATAAGGAATGCTCCGCGTCTTCGGTGATTTTCTTCGCCGAGCCTGGGACCACATATTCCGAGAAGGACCAGTAACTTGCTTCCCATTCTTTAGTTTGAAGCCTAAAAAGCAAATTCAATTCCTCAAAACCTCTTTCGCGTCCATCTAGTGGTCATACCGGCTCTCTAAAGACCAAAAACAAAATAAAAACACTTACTTTGGCACCACTACAACAACAGTTTGAAGGTATTCCGAGTTCTGAACAAAGTCATCAGCCTTCACAATATCAGCCAAATCCTTGGTAATCAAAGATCCAGTCGCCTTACGGTCCAAAGAAGCCAAAGTGTTCTTCAAGTTGTTGTAATTCAAAGCTTTGGTCTTCAAATCGTTGTCAATTTGAGTAATTTGCTAAAAATAAAAAATTAGTAAACTATAACGTATTTTACAATACCAGAATCTTTTTCGATCACTCAGATGTCATAAAAAGAGAACAAAACGACCAAGCCAACTTACTTTACCAATTATTTCACTCAAAACCTTCAACGATTGCTTCAGTGGATACTTTGCGCCCTCCCATTGGAATCTGGTGAGGTAGGTGTGCATATCCTCTGAAAATATATAAATAAGAATATAAGCCATCCAACATAAACGAAAAGATCCAGTAGATAACAAAAAGAGTCTGCTTTGAGCAATTTTTTTATGTTATACATCATGGATAATATTTTTTGAATAAAAAAGAAAACAAACCGCAAATTTCTAAAAGAAAAGCTTTGCAAAAGGTGCATAGAGAGTTGTTACTGCATTTCTAAACTGAAAACTTTCAAATTTCGAGCTTGCGAACAAAAAATTATCAATTTATATTGCCCATGAAACCATCTCTTGGTCCTTCTAAAAACTTACTATTCCCAATGACCAAATTGTCGACCAACTTATCTCTCTCCTCTTCCAAGACCTCAGCAAAGTATTGGACCAACTTTCGAGTCGTTCTAAACGCCAAAACATTCAATATGAAACTAAATACTTACTGTTCGGCGGCGGCATCCAATTTAGCCAAGTCATCGCTCAATCCGACCAGTTGATCCAATGTTCCCACCTTCAAGTCGGGCACATTGAACTTGTAGTTGGTGCTGATGGCATTGGTGGTGGCTTGGAGCCGGTCCCAGGTCTCCTGCGGGGTTTTCTCGCCGGGCGCCGAGACCAGCCAAATCTCCTGGATGGGGGCGGCACTCATCTTCGGAAATTAATAGTAAAATTCCCGAGTTTCTACTATTTTACTTTCCTCGGCGAGCCGAAAAATTTATTTTTATTCTCTCACCACTGGTTTCTGGTCTTTTTGACCACCTCTTGTTTTCGTGGCGGGACCCAGGATGGGGGTTAGTGGGATGGGAAATTTCAAATTTTTAAGGGCAAAATGGAAAAATACTGGTAACTGGAAATCCAAAAATGCATTTGAGCACCATTTGAATCTATCGATTTTAAAACAAACGCCATTTTTTACCAATTTCATCTACTATAATATCAAGCGAAACTCCGAAAAAATCGTGGAAATAAACACATGTCTTGCTTGAATTCGTTATAAAACGTCATAATTATAGGTTGAAAACAAGAATTTTTAAAAATTACCATTCATTCACCCTGATTTTGAACTCTCTTCATTAATATAAAGTGTAATATAATTTATGTCCAAGTCTGGACAGGTGCTATTTTCAAGCCCTGGGAATGGGTTTAAGATCCACTAATCTGCCGTTCTCTTGCTATTTTTTATTTTTCATTTGGGCTCTCCCTTTCTCCAGTTGCTAAACAAATAAAAAATCTCTCAAACACGCGGCAAAAACGTCAAATTTTTCTTGAAATTGCTCCCGGGGAAACGATTGACCGGCATTTCATTGACATTCGGGCTTGTTTTTTCATTTTTTTTTTCATTTTGTAATAGTTAGTGAAAATTTTAAAAAAATTTTTTTGGGGGGGGGGGGGTCTCAAGGGTAAATTTAATTTTGAAAAACCCCAATTTTCGAAAAACGTTTTTTTAAATTTTCGAATTTTTCGAACGTCATGCTCTCTCTAAACTAGTGTAAAAGTTATTTACAATGACTTGAAAGTGTAAGTAAACCTTCCAATAATCTATTCAACTTTGTCCTTAATTTCTAGTGCTGTCGTTGAAGTTTGTAGTGAATCTTTTGTTATCGAAAAACCCATACATCAAGAGGTCAGCTGTTACGTTACATAGACAAGGACAAGTACAATTTTTACCAAGCATAGACTTGTACATATTATACATTGTAATTTCGAGAGGTTACCTTTCTCTTGTCCTTGAATATTGTAGAAATTTGCATTTCAAAGCGGCGAGAAAATCACAGCCGTTGTTGGATGACAAGGGGTTTGTAAATGACTGTGGAAGTGGTTTTTGTCATTTTCTGGAATCTCTATGTTTCAGGATTTCCTCAAAGTTTTCTTGAGGTTAAAACGCTCACTTAGACCTGTGTTTTAAATGTGCGTCTTATGGAAAATTTTCGTTGTATATAAGTGAGCACTTCCGCTAACAGGGGAAGTACCCCAAGTGCGACGCTCAGATTTCGATGAAACTTGGCACAAATTTAGAACAATTTTTCCTATGATATAAGCGCGAGAATCCTAGCTCGCGCTTTGCAGAAACAACCGAGATTTTTAGATCGAAAGTAGGCGAAAATTTAGGACTTTTTGCCGAATTTCGGCACGAAAAGTTGCATGCCTATTTCTACCGTAAAGGAAAATATTTCTACAAAAAATCAAAATTTTCGGCACTAAACTACCAAAGTTATGGCCAAAAAGCGTTTTTCTCTCTGACCGCTCTCCACGTTTAGCGTGCTCTCTCGGCGGCAAAAATAGTTCGATATCAAGCGCGAGCTAAAACTTTCACGAATTGACATTTAGTCCATACCCGACGTGTGTGCAAAATTTGAAGTACTTCCCCTGTAAGCCAAAATTGGCTTTCTCCCAGCAAAGAAATTTTTCGTTGCGGGACCCGCGCCCGGTAGGCGCGCCACTGAGAATAAAAATAATTTCTCGAGGAAAGTTGATGTTCGAATGTAAAAGTGATGGTTAAATGGAATTTTCACAGAGGTAAGTCGGTTTCCACACCTATTTGAGCTTTAGAATGCTATTAATTGTTCTTAGTTGTCCAGTTTGTCCTCAGTTTTCGTAATATTGCGTGGTTTCTGGGACAGATCAAGATTGGCTATATATAATTTGAGTTTTTGATGTAATTTGAGACATAGAAGCAAACTCGTGCATTCAGACAGCGGAATCTCCACCAGTGCCAAGAATTTTAACGAGAAATAAAAAGGTAAGTGTTGTTTTACGACTTATTTTAGCACTAGAAAGTTATATTGCCACTTTTAGATTCCTTTTGCTTGATTTTAAAGTAGTATGGGCAATTTTAGCTCTTAATAACACTGTTATCAAAATATCCTTAGTTCTTTTGTGAAATTTATCTGCTTTTTCGTTCGTAAAGTGGTGTTTACGCTTTCAGTTTATTTCGGGTTGTCGGGTTGGGTTGTGCGAGAGAAATAGGTCCATCGAATGACGGCATCTCTCTTCCTTCTTTTATTTCAATCGACTATCGCTGTTAGTATTAGGTTGATTCATAATTATCCGGCGGTTTTATTGGCGCATTTTTTGTTAGTTAAAATTTGCGTTTTGTTAATGTTTTTTTTTATAAAAATAATCTTGTCTGGTTAGTTAATAAAATGGCAGTCGAAACCCATACTCATATTTGCCACATTATGCTCTACCACTTCGAGAAAAGTTGGAAGTCAGCACGGTCATTCCGCGATCTCAACGAACTTTTCGGCGAAGGAACAAAAAAAGCACGATTTCCCAGTGGATGATTCCGCTTCTGTCCCACCACACATACCACGTAGCCTTCTTACAGTGGACGTCTTTTGGTACTCCTTTGGGCGAAACACCTGCCGATTTTTTTCTTTCGCCGAAAGGTTCGTTGAGATCGCGAAATGACTGTGCTGACTTCCAACTTTTCTCGAAGTGGTAGAGCATAATGTGGCAAATATGAGTATGGGTTTCGACTGCTATTTTATTAACTAACCAGACAAGATTATTTTTATAAAAAAAACATTAACAAAACGCAAATTTTAACTAACAAAAAACGCGCCAATAAAACCGCCGGATAATTATGAATCAACCTAATATTTGTTTCGCTGCACAATCGTACTTCTCTTACGTAAATGCATTGATACGCTACATATTTCCAGACAAATCTATGTCGATTACACTATACGTCTTTCTCTTCTTCGTGACTTCTTTACATGCAGGTATAGTTGATAGTTAGCATACATGATTGGGCAGAAAAAAACGTCATAGTTTTGATAAAATAAGCACCAACACCATTTCAAAAATTTCAGATGATATCGCGACCTCAAAATTAACTTCAACAATAGGCAGCAGCAGTCTCTCTTCTGCGAACACTTCGTCGTCATCTTCACTGATTGACGTGGAGGAAGAGCTAGCCAAGATTCGCACAACCTGCCTGACCCCGCAAGATTTCGAATTGTTAACTGGAAACGCTATCAGATACTACCCTGTAGGATGGTTTATCCACGCATTAATCGAACAAAGCGTGGCGACCATAGGTCTTGAAGAGTTACGAACCACACTGAAATTGTCCGCACTTCCACCCTGGAAACCATTTAACCTAACCGAACCAAGCGAGCATGAGCTGGCATCAGCAACTACAATCGAAGAGTACTACAATTTGAGGGAGCCGCGCTCAAAAATGAGAAGTCTTTCGAGCATAACATAGATACTGCAGTTGCATATTTACAGGGTGACAAAGAAAAAATGCAACTCATATTTATGGCCATATTTTGTCTAAAACACCAAACTTAACTAAAGTAAAGGTAAATATCAGCAACATAGAGTATTGTTAATAGTATACTCACCCAGTTTTAAGGTGGCTGTTCTTGGCGCCGAGATAGAGCTCAAAACGTGACTTTAAATTTTGGGCGATTCGCCGGAGCTTTTTTTGGAGAAATCGGTCCCGTTCTTACCGCAGCGAAAAATTAGCGGCTCCAAACTTTTTTGGCGTGAACTAGAGGTCTTGACCTCCAACGGAAGAAAAAACATAGTCCACCGGATTCAGATCCGGCGAGTAGGCGGCCATTTAGCAGACCACATAAAATCGGGAAAAATGATCCTTTCCTGGCCTTGCGTCTTTTTTGCTTTATGGGCGATGGCGGAATGCTGCTACGGTGTCCATTTTGAATCGCCAAGGTGCTACTGAGCCCACGGGTTCACGTTGGTGCCCAAAATCTCGCTGCTAGACTTATCGGTTTGGTTTTGACTCTTTTATCCAAGAAAACCAAGGATATCACGCCGCTGGCGCAAAACGTTGCCCCAGACCATGAGAGGCCGGATTTTTACTGGGTTCAAAAATAGCGTATGGTTTTTGACTCTAAACAGCCCAACTCCTGTCATTCTGGTGGTTGTAGGCCTGCTCGATGTTGAAATATTTCTCACCGACGGACAGGATCTTCTCTCATCGCTGACCTGCGGCGCGACGCTTGAATTTTCGACATTTTTTCAGATATTTTTGCTTGTAGTATTCCGGGATGCGCTAGGCTTTTTGGAGCTTTTTAGGCTTGCGCTACGGTGCATTGCTGGCCATTCATCGACCAGCTGTTGTGTTGATGCCGGTCGGCCGGGCAATCTTTTTCATGGACACCATCAGATTTTGCTTCACTCGCTTTTTGATGATCTCAAAGTTGCCAGAAGTGTTCAAGATGCGCTTTCATCTATTTCCTGGACACTTAACATCGTGGCCAAGCTCGTTGAGTCGTTTGGTGGCTGTTGGCGTAGCAGATTTTCCTACACCGAGCAGTTTAGCAATCTCACACTGTCCTTTTTCTTCCCGAGACAGGTTTAAAATTGGGGTCCCTCAGTTTGACACTCAATACAAAGATGATAATCAATCGATATGGGCATGAAACTCAAAAGACTAGGACAGAAAAACACGGAGAATTTAATGGTATAAAAAATATTCCGCTACACCTAAACAGTTTCGCTGCAGGACCAATGAAAAAAAGTTGCATTTTTTATTTGTCACCCTGTAAAAAAGCGACTACAAACCGTTTTCAAAAGAACATTTGAACAAGTTTCTCCTTCTGCTCCAAAATTGCTAAATAAGAAAGCAATCGATCGTATGATTGAACTGTTTCGCGCGATGGATGTTAAAATTTGCAAGGCAACTTCGAATATGCTAATGAATTGTGATTGTTGGGATGATGATCTTTAGATAAATACACTTACCTTTTTATTTCTCGTTAAAATTCTTGGCACTGGTGGAGATTCCGCTGTCTGAATGCACGAGTTTGCTTCTATGTCTGAAATTACATCAAAAAACTCAAATTATATATGGCCAATCTTGATCTGTCCCAGAAACCACGCAATATTGCGAAAACTGAGGACAAACTGGACAACTAAGAACAATTAATAGCATTCTAAAGTTCAAATAGGTGTGGAAACCGGCTTACTCTGTGAAATTCCATTTAACCATCACTTTTACATTCGAACATCAGCTTTAAGGCTTTAGTTGGTATGTGAATCCCTAAAAGGTTTACAGGGGAAGTACCCCAAGTGCGACGCTCAGATTTTGATGAAACTTGGCACAAATTTACCGTAATTTTTTGTAAAATAAATATATACGAAAATCCAAACTCGCGCTTTGCAGAAACAACCGAGACTTTTTTTGATCGAAAGTTGGTGAAAATTTCACAATTTTTGTCAAATTTTGGCAAGAAAAGTTTCATGCCTATTTTTACCATAGAGTCAGATATTTTCACAAAAGATCAACGTTTTCCGCACGAAACAACGTTCAATATCTCGGTGGCACTTGCAAAGAGCGAACTAAAACTTTCAGGAATTGATGTTTAGTCTATGCCCGACGGGTGCGCAAAATTTGTATAAAATCTGAACGTTGGAGCCCTTCCCTTGTCAGCTGATTTTTCCGATGAGAGAGGTTGAACCATCCTGTTTTGGGCTTGCAAAATGAGGAGTTTTGGCCAGACGAGAAACCATTTTTGTCCACAATGTTCTCATCTTTGCACGGAAAGGTTGTCTTTCGTTGCGCGCCGCGCTTGTATGTAATTAAACCCAAAAAAAATCTATTATAAAGAATAATTCTCTTGGTCTCTGAGGTTTGATTTATCACAACGTTTACGGCCTCACAAAAGTTTGATGTAATTATGTTCTTATTAATATGGCAGAGCACAAAACGGAGCGATGTTTTACTTGTCCAAAAATTCCCACCGTATTCCTTGGTTCGCACAAGCTTCATTCTTTT